GCAACAAGTTCTGAGCTTTGGAGAGATTCTGGAAAAAAACCTCGTGTTTGCAGGGAAAAAAACACACCAATATTTAAATTTGCTGACTAATTCTTCTACATATTTCTTGGGCTGTATCAAAGTCAGAGGAACGTTTGACCTTGAGAGAAGGAGGTAATGAGCACGTCAAGGAGGGTTGCTACAGCATCGCCCTAACGATTAACTCTACCAAAGGGTGCAATCCAAGAAGCTTCCTCCTTCATGGGACAGGACAGGTGCGGCACCCCCCTCCCTAACTCTAGTCTCCCTAAGATAGTCTACTGGGCAAACACCTGGATTTTCCCTCCTACTCACCCAGGAGGTGCACACTTGTATTTCCAGACCATTACTAAATGCTTGCAACAGCCAATGATGCTTGAGCTCCTTGTATGGCAGTAGGTTTTAAAGTTCTCACAGTTCTAACTCCAGCACTAACTCACACGTTCCAGAGACCTTCCTCCTCCAGTTTCCCCAGATGCAGTCACTGACAGCTCCCTTTGTATAAAGTGCCTGAGGCCCAATTCCAAAGAGGTCAGAAATAAAGCAAGAAAATGCTACAGACAGCGGCCGCAAGGGCTTCCAGCAATTCCTGGCAGAATGTTGCAAGCGTGTCACCCCGTTAACTCCTGTAGGGAATTCCCTGATGGCCATTTCAGGGACACTGGAGGGGTGCACTCTACCAGCTACTTGGCCAAGAGCTCCACCTGCAGGACATGGAAGACGGTCTCCACACCAAGGCTTATGGTTGCCATGCTCGCCCTGGGTAAACTAGCCTAGCGCCCTTTTCCTCCTGCCTCAGTCTCTCTATCAGCAAGGTTTCTTCAAGGAGCCCCCTCCTGGCTCCTCCACTCCCTCCCTCCCGCCTGCCCGCACTCAGCTTTTTCCTCCTCTCCTCCCGCCTCTTGAATCTCTTTTTCATTCTGGCTCTTACTCTGTTTCTATGTCTCTCTCTTTGCTTTTTTCCCTTTTAAGTTTTATTATTTTCTTCTTGTTACTGCTTTCTCTTCCCAGACACGTTGCTCTTTTCATTTATTCCTCTGTCTACCTCTCTGTCTTGTTTGTGTGCTGGCTCTCTCCCTCTTTCTCTCCATCTGTGTTTGTTCTTTATCTCTCTGTGCTCATCTTCCTTTTTTCCGTTCATTTTTTTCCCTCTTTCTATGTTCATCTGGTCTTTTCGTCTGTGTCTCTCCTTCTGTCTCCCTTCATTCTTTCCTAATCTTTTCTTCTTTCAACTTTTTCTTTTAAATTTCTATCTACTTCATTACTCTGTCTCTAATCTCTCTTTCACTGTGGATCTCAATTTGTCACTACTTACTCCTAGATTTAATTGTCAACAGAAGAGTAGATACTTCATTTCTTTTTGTACTTTTCTCTCTGTGTACCTTCTCCTCTTCACCCAGTGTCTTCTTGTATTCTTGCTTCCTCTCTTTCCTCTCCTTCATTCTTTCTTTTGCATCTCACCAAATCTTTCACTGAATCGGTTTTCACATCCTTCCTATTCTCTCATTTTTTCTTTGTTGTCTTTTTCTCTACTCCTGGTTTTGTTTACACACACACACACACACACACACCCCTGTTTCTCTCTATCCTTTCCTCCTACCTCTATTTTTCACTCACTTTTTGCTTTATGCCTGTCCTTTTGTGTGGGTGTGCCTGTGTGTGTGCACGTGCGTGCATGAACATGTACACACTCATATACGTGGCTGTGTGTACACACTTACACGCATGGGGGAAAGGGGGTGGTGAGGGGAGTGCATGAGGTTAGAGCAGTATGGAGGCTGGATCTACAGCTGGTTACTCTGGTTATCCACGGCAATCTTCTGATTTAGTTGTCTGGGATGGGGCCAGTGAATCTAATAAGCATCTTGGGTTGAGATCCACTGGCTTAACAACAAAAGCCCTTAAAAGCCAGGATTAATCATATGTACTTCATGCAATAACCAATAAGGGAACAAAGCAGGTTTTGAGGATTATAGTGAAATAATATCTTTGTATGAGAGATCATCTGAAAACATTGTGGGGAACAAGACTACAAGCAGACACTAATGGAAATTCTTATCTGTCTGATCGGGCCTAATTCAAATAGCATCTCCTTCAGTTTCCACTTGAAACCCAGTTCTTCCTCCCCAATGTTTATTTCTCCATTGTGGTTCTTGCCAAACTCAGGCTCATACTTGAATCACTTGTCCATCTGTCTGCTATCCCCGACATTGAGACTATGTTGTGCATTTTCCTAGGACAGTTCTAATTATATAAGTTTTCCAAGTCATTGTCCATATTTGCTTAATTGAATTTAAAAATATCACATTTGGGCCTGGCCCCGTGGCCGAGCGGTTAAGTTCGCGCGCTCCACTGCAGGCAGCCCAGTGTTTCGTTGCTTCGAATCCTGGGCACGGACATGGCACTGCTCATCAAACCACACTGAGGCAGCGTCTCACATGCCACAACTAGAAGGACCCACAATGAAGAATATACAACTATGTACCGGGGGACTTTGGGGAGAAAAAGGAAAAAAAATAAAATCTTTAAAAAAAATACATCACATTTGTCTTCAAAATCATTAAGTTGGTAATATTATCAACTGAGACTCAATGACACAGCACATTATATGGAGAGCTAGAGATAAGATCTGTTCGCTCCAACAATATAACATTTGCTGAGCAATGGGATAACTAGCGAGAATATAGGAGCAGCATAGAATTTCAGATTGGGGAATGGACTCTTGCGCCACACCTCCTGGGTTTGAATCCCAGCTTGGCAACTTGCTAGCTACATGTACAAGAAGGGCAAGACTGTGCCTATTCTCCGGAACAGCCAGCTCTTGGTCCTCTGTGGCTACCTTGTCCATGCCGACTTGGCTCAGAAAGACGCTCATCCCTGAAGGCTCCAGCCTCAGCCCAGTGTTCAAGATGACTTGTTTAATTAAATTTTTATATTTATTATTATTTATATAAAATAATTTATTATTATTTTATATTCGTTTATTATTTGGGAACCCCAGATAATAATGTTAGGTTCTTCCTATGTCAGTTAAATATTGGCCCAATCACTCTTCTCTTCAAATCAACTGGAAGGACAATCAGATGTACCAAGTTTTCTTCCATCTGGAGACTAGTTACAGAACAAGATTTCAGATCCACCACTTGAAATTTTAGCAGGAAATATTTCTCACTAATAAACTGAAAACTTTATGGTACTATTTCCCTCCCAGAATTGGTGTTATCTCTGCAGAGGGATTGTTGTGGGAAGCAGGTCAGCAGAAATGAGTCTGTAGGTTCGCAGGATGCTATTCTTATCCACATAGTAATTGCTATGCCATGGCAAGCCCACAGTATGCAAACAGTCGACTGTAGCTCAGGAAACGCCTCTCAGCCTCAATTATCTGCTACTTGTTCCGAATCTCCCCATGCTCAGTGCCCTTTGTTTCTGACCCCCTTAGCTTCACATGCCTTCATTCTGTCTTTTCACAGTGTCCACCTGATTTGATAATGCAAAGCCTTGCATTGTTTATATTAATATGTACCAAAAACCTCACAGGATGCTGACCCGTGAAACTGCCCCTCACTTACACACTCCGCAAACATGAACACAAGGAACCACAGGCTGGGACTTGCCCGGTCACTGGATGAACCTCTGCCCAACACCTCCTCCACAGGAGAAGATCCGATCTTCAATGTAAGTGCTCTGTGAAAGCTTGAGGCCTGGTATAGCAAGTAACACACGAGCGAGATCACTGCGAAACCATCTCGCCTGTAAGAAATAAACTCCAATACTGGAGCAACTGTCAAGTTTTACTGCTTCAATTTCTTAGCACAACCTAAAAGGACCTGTTTGTAACTCCAGGGCACAGGAGTCCAAGGCCCACGGCCACCTTGAGTACTGCTGCTTCCTGTTCAGTTGGGCCCTCAGACAGCTCCCCACCTTTGAGTCCACGTGCACAGAGCAGGTGCTCGATAAACACCTGTTGCTGAATGAGTTAGAGATCCATCACGCTTGTCACCAGAGGCCCTAGCAACCCCGTCTTGTGCCAAACCCATATCATTAACAGCAATATCAAGAAAACTGACGTGAAATCATTGCAAACATCCCAGTCTTCTTCTGGACTGACCAGAGAGATTAAAGGCCTAAGGGATTTCCAAAAGAAATAAGGCAATTATTAAATAAACATACAAAGTCTTCTCTCCAGCAATACTACCAGTTCCAGAATGAAAAGAAAATTGAAAATACTTTCTAAAATTCACATGTGGAGACTGAGACTGGAATTACAATTTCAGATAGGATAATGGAGGTGAATAACCCTGTTCTCACAAATTAACCATTATTTTTACTGATCCATAACCCATCTTTGCAAATGGTAAGTTCTGGGGGACTCCGCAATGACCCTGTAACTTGGATTTTTTCATGACACAAAGCTCAAATAATACCACCAACTATCCCACTTGGCCTTCATGAACCACTGTTCGCTATCAACTCTTTCAAAGTAGGAAACATGGAATTGATCCCTACAGCTGTCCTTGTATCTGCGTATAATTAAATGAGAATCTAAGAACTCTTCCGCAAAGAAAACTCATTTTTCCCTTTCTTTCTTTCTTCCCTTCTCATACACTTTCAGTTTTTCCATTTCCTTGCTTTTTTACACCAACGTAATCATCAATAGTTGTTTGCTGAAATCCATCAGCCACAATAGATAGTGGTAAGTGGGAGACAAATTACATCCAATGAGATGATCTAGCACAATTTCTGGAATGTGACAAACACTCAAAACATGAGTATTCACTCACTACTAATACTCAATAATTTTGCTTTTCTTCTCTTTCTGAGCTCCAGTCTACAAGTCAATCATAACTATTGATCGAATATTTGATCAAAGACAGCTTCCTCTGTATTTCAACTAAAAAAACTACTGTGCTGCATAAAGTTACATGTAGATTATATAATTTTACATTCTATTCAGAGTTGATAGAGTTCAGATATTATTCACATAAGTTTTTAAAATATACACCAATTTATTATGTTTTACATGATATAAAATATCTATAGTGGAACAAAAGTTTATTTTATAAAACCATCAGTGGAATACCTCATGTATATCCAATGTGAATGGTAGGTTTTGGAGGGAGAAAACTGACACTTGAAATGCATTGCCAGCAAGCACGTGGCAATCTCACATCTTTACAACTGTGTATTCATAGTTAATACATAGCATTAACTGCATCCCTCTGTGGTTATCCTTTCACTAAAATCTGCTCTAGTTTTCACCCCTCAACAGTCAGATTCTGGCAGCTTACTCTGGAAATTAAGGTTGGATTCAAGGAAAACTATGAACTTTCACATTATTCATTCTCTCATTCATTCTTTCCATCATTGGGTCTGCCTTTTCTGATCTAGAGCTTGTGTGACCCACACAGCCAAATTTAAGGAATATACCCACCCCGGGTTTCCACACCCATTCCAACACAATCTGGTATCTCGTCCTCATCAAATCCAATTACTAACCAGCAAGAAGCGTGTGCTGCTCTCATGAAAATCTGTCCAATTTGTCTCCTAATTCAGTAAAGCTTCGGTTCAAAGGTGAAGCCGGGTGAAAGAAAGAAGAAGCCACAGCTGATGCTCCTGAGGAACGGCTCTGGAATAAAGCCTCCCCTCAATTCCTACGTAATAGGCCACTGTCTCATCCGCCATCTTCGTCAGGAAAAAACATAGACAAATAAAGTAGCATCTGCCATGATCAATGGTATTTAGTCACAGAATTTTCATTTGGGTCTACTTTCTTGCTTTCCCAGAAAAATAGATATTTAAAAACTATTTCCTGGTGATAAAATTAAATTTTACTTTTACAAACATAAAAATAAAGAACGGTCATTTGTAGCAAAGATTCAAATTAAAAATCTTTATATGTTTCATTATTTAATTTCTAGACAGCAACAGAGGTAAGAATTTTTTAATGTTATTTATATCACAAGAGAATCTTGCTTTCTTGAAAAAGAACATTTTTAAAATTCCAGGAAGGTCAACGTATCACAAAATTATCAAGGTCTGAACATCGTAGGTGAAATCCTTTAGCTATTACTGAAACATAAGTATAATTACACACAGGAAAAAGACATTATCAGCAGAGAAAAGATGCCTTAAGAACGCTTTGTGTTCCTCCAAACTGATGGACACGAGTGAGCCCTGATATCATTGTGTTTAGAAACGGCCTCGTCCAGATCCAGTTGTGCACCATTAACATTCACGTCCATACAGCCACTGTAAAAGGCATTCACGGGTGTGGCACTGAATGGAACATCTGTAAAAACAGAATATTGAAGTATTAGCCCAAGACTTTTAGCATCTTATTTGCTTACAGTTAGAGGAATTATTCAGACTTCCCATTTCCAACCAAATTTTAATCCTAAAGGAGAAGTTGATGATGTAATTCTATTCAATAAATTGACATTAAGTAACTCCTATGCACCTAAGATATTGTGCTTGGCACTGAATTCAGCATGTCACGAGTTCCTCTGACTTCACTAACACAGTTCCATCCCAACCTAAGATAAACACACTTAAAAAAGTAGAAAAGAGCATATTCTTACTTGTGATGTTCTACTTTATCATTTTCTCTTTAAATTTGAGCAACTAAGCACTGTTAAATCATTTTTCAACTCCAAATTATAGCTACTTGGGAATCTTTTTTAAATGCCATGATACATACATCTCTTTCATTATTGCTAGAATAAAAGCAGATTTCTATATTTTCCAAAGAAATAGTTTCTTGCTGGGGATACAATGGCAAGTCATGATAGGAAATTCACTTTTATGTAATGTTCGGTGTTCTAAAAAATAACAATTTTAATAATGCTTCAGGGAACAGTTTAGGGCCTTTGGGCCTTTCTACACTTTCACTCTCTTTGTCAAACTTAACGCTAAGGTAACACCCTTGAATTCCTAAGAACTGTGGTTCATCTTAGAAACATCCCTCTCTCTACTTGCTCCCTCCTTTTTTGGCATCTCCTCTTCATGAATTTTAATTCCCAATGGACATTCTTCAGCACTTGGTTTTCTCCCTTAGAACCTTATGTAAAAAATATATATACTTCAGATTTTCCACCTATAACTTTCCAAGACAGTGAATAAAGTCCATACTTTTCTATGGGCTCATAGCATTTTTTAAAAAACCCTCTCAAGTTGGTCTGAGTATCACAGATTATGCCACTACTATAAAAATCCTCAAAATCATCAATTTCTCCTGATTTTTAATTCACAACATGCAACTGAACATGCCTATTTTACATATCAATTAATAACTTATCCATCTCATAGTCACTCAATATCTCAATTTTCAGCTCCCCTCAATTTTTCCTTACTCTTTTTGTAAACACATCTTGCCTGAAGTCAGTTCTCAATGCCTTTTCCAAAGTCCCAGAACCACTGAAATTTTGATAGTTTTACTTCTTTTAAACTCCTTCATTGTTTGTTTGATTTCCTAAAATTGCATTCAACTAATTTGTGAATAAGGTAGTAGGCAGGTTCTAATAGAGAATTCATTCATTTGAACTGTAATTATACTTCCTAATAATTAACCATGCTAACTTAACTCCATCTATCTATATCTATCTATAAAGCTTAGAGCCTATTTACTCCTATATTACCCCAAAACCCAGAAAAATTTCTATATGTGGGAAATTAAGATCCTGAGCAGTTACAGCAATATAGTGAAGGTTACTAGAAGTCCAGACATCAAACTCAGAATTCTCTCCATGAGAATAACCTGCAAATGGCATTTGAAAATACTTCCAAAAAACTTTCTGCCTCAATTTTTTTGCCATTTAAAGTAAAATGTTGATGTCAATTTCCAATATTAAGTTAAAAATAAACCTGCTTTTCCTCCAGTTTTTCTCATCTTGGTAAATGCAATCTCCACCCACACCAACTGCTCATGCCAGATACCTAAGAGATCTTTATACCTGCTTTTCAATCATTAAATCCTGTTAATTTAGTTTCTCACACATACCCCCAATCTATTCACTGTATACCACCTCCACTGCCCTCACTCTAGTCCAGCAGCTTCCTCATCTTGCTCATCTGTAAAATGGGGATAATAACAATACTTATCTCACAAGACTATTTTGAAAATTGAATCAGTTGATACGTTTGAAGCACTCTGAACAGTGCCCAGACTGTTTATTACGCACCAGTTGATGGTAGGATACTGTTGTTGCTGTTATTATTACTGCTCCTCCATCTGGATGCCTCAGTAGCCCCCAACCCATTTCATTCACTTTTTCCTCCACCTGTCCATCTCCATCCCTCACAAGGGGGGATTTTTAAAACTGGAATATTGATGTATCACTTGCTTGTCCAAAATTATTTAATAATTTTCGTGACTCTCATAATAAGACTTGGGACCCTAAACCAGGTCTACAAATCCCACCACCACCCACTCAGCTCACAGCCTCATCCCGCACTGCCATCTCCCCTGCTCAACATGCTTCCACCGTAACCATCTTCCAGAAGGGCCAAGTGTATCAACCCTTCCCACTTTGCCCACACATGGACATTCTACTTGAATACTGACTCCAATCCCCTCCCCATCACCTGGTTAACTTTATTTAACCCTTCTAGTATCAGATTTATATCTTAGTCTTTTCTTCAGGGAGCTTGTTCCTGGCCCCCACAAACAGATCATGTCCTGATTTTCAGGCTATGAAAGCAACCCACATTCTCCTTCACAGGAGGAATCACAATCAGGTGCTCTACTCCCTGCCTGTGTCACTGGGTTGTAAAAGCCTCTGCAGCAGGGACCACATCTACCTGTCTATTACCACGTCTCTAGTGACTAGGACGAGGGTTCTTAATAAATATTGGGTGAATGACGGATGAATTGAAGAACAGATATTGAACTTGCAAGACTATTGTGAGGATGAAATGAAATAATAAATCGTTTCTGGCTAGGGCAGTCAAATGCAGCAAACCTGACTTTCAGTTCACCATTAAATGTATCAATAAAATGTCAATACAAGTCCCCGGGAAAAGAATAATGGATACTGGAATTTTGTCTTCCTTTCTGATGCCCTTTTACTAAAGTTACATATTTAAAATACTATCAATTTGATTAAAAGCATACTTTTTCAACCTGAAGAGAAAGTAAGCAGATACCTGGAAGGCCACCCAGGTAAGTGGCCATTGTTCCTTGCATCGCTTTGTCCAAGTTGGCAAATTGTCTTGGAAGGTCTTCAGAGTAGATGACATTGTTTCTAAGTGGAGTCGACACCTGCAGACTGTCCCTGTTGACTCTGAACTCCAGATAGGATTGTTGATTGGAACACAGACTTAGGGCCTCTATCTGATATATTACCATACTTTCAACAGATACCAGGATATCCTGAAGCACAGAGAAAAGACTCAATATAAGCAAGCTCTAGCGGTAATGCCACTCAGAGTGACCTATGAGTTTTTGAAATCCAAAAACTGAATTTCAATGGGGAAAAAGAAAAGGTATGATAGAGCCTCCAAGTTTAAATGAAAAATTACTAATTATTAAAATAATCATAATTTTAGAATATACATTTGTTTTACAAACTCCAGGTTTAGCTAAGACGTAAATCTCTTTTGGCTTCTGAAAACTCAATAAACCAACAGTTGTTTTACCAACAGTGAGAACCTACAGCAGTGTCTTAAGCAGTCTTTCTCTGTTCATGAGCCTTCCTACCTTCAAAACTTACATATGAAAGAGGAAGGAGTTGAATCACTTTTTGTTGGGGAAGAGACTTGGAAAATTTAAAGAGCTTTAGTAAACACAAGCCAGCAAGACTGATGGGTTTTTGTGCCACACAAGCAATCCTGTAGACTTGGGACAAAGTGAGTGAAGAAGCCCAGAGAGAAAAACCAGGGTTTGTAAGCAGCAAGTTACAGAGTATTTACCAGAAGATTCTCAAAGGAGAGGACTTACTCACTTTGCTGAACTTTTCAAAATGCTGATACATAAAATTACTTACCTTGCTGAGAATGGTCTATGCTTGTAGCTTCTATGCATCAGAGCAAACACAAAAGTAAGAGAGAAAATCAACTCTAAACTGGGGGGTGGGGGTTAAGAGGTGGTAGAAGGATAGTCTGAAGTGCCGACTTTAAGTGAAGACTATACTTGGCAAACAAGGGTTATCTGAGAAGATCTGTCACCATGTCATACATGTCTGTATTGCTGAACTCACGACAAGCCCTACAGATGGCTAGCTGAGGAAATGGCCCAGAATGTGGGATACATTGTCAACAGCACATGGGATGACATCATGAAACACCATGCACAGACCTTGTGCAGGCAATCCCACAAGCAAAAAGGAGGAGCCACGGAGACAAACAGAAAAGATAAAATAAATATCAAAGACGTGGCATGTGCTAACCCCTGTACCTCACAAATGTAGTGCTGAAGATAGGATTTCCATTTTGTTTAAAAAAAAGACAAACAAGCAAACAAAAGGCTGAAATCCAGATGTGTAAGCTCCTTTGGTAGACTGGAGATAAAATCTCGGCAGAATCTTTTCAGGTTGCTTGTGCTTAACGGTCAGAAACTCCCCACGATCGTCTTTTAAGTTGCCTACAGCACCCTTTCTATCACTACAGGCATTATTCAACTACACGTCTCTTTCTACAAGCTACAGAGAGCATCCAAGCCAGTCTGGCGCAAACACAAGCGTCGTGCTGTTAACTTGCTGGACTCCACTGCAGATGACACATGAACAGAACTACTAGCCTATATTAGAAGGCTGAATAATACAGATCTTTCGATAACTCTCATATTTCCTTCTATCCAAGAGTTTTCCCTGTTTTTCCTCCTAATTTCAAATGAGAGTTCCCAGTAAGAAGCCAAGTGTACTGGGCTTAGTTTTCTCTAGTCTTTCCTAATTCACCCATGGGAAAAAGGATTAAGAGTGCCAGAAAGCACAAAACATTATAATTAGGCACTAAATATCTGAGAGTGGATTGTAATCAGACTCACTTCGATTTTGTTAGTAGAGACTAATTCTCGTGATACTTCAAGGATTCTACATAAGGGTGGATGTCCATGTACTCTGGGAAGCTCCAAGCAGCCTATGTGTGAGTCTGCCTAATCTTAGCTATAGATGCAATAGGCTGTTCAATTTATTCCCATTATTTCTTGGTTCAGACCTTGGAAATAAGTCAGGAAAAAAGTCATAATCATAGACATTTATGGAGTCCTTAATGATATGCTGGAGATTGTGCCAAATATTTTACATAAGTTATCTCATTTAATCTTCAAAATAACACTTTGAGGTAAATACTGCTAATATATCCATTTTACAAATTAAAAACAAACAAACAAGTATCATAAAGGTTAGACTAAAGTTACCTGAAGTTTTTCAGAGGTGGAGTCCACCAAGGACAAGGCAAAGGGCACTGTGTTACCAGAAACCAAGGCAAACATGACGCCAGTGCCGGTGGACGGGCGAATACGCAAGGACACGTTGACGTGCCAGCCCTCAGCACTGGATGTGTTATCTGTTTAAAGAATGAAACAGAAGCAGGATCAATGTGCTCCTCAAGTGCACCCGTAGGAATTATTACAATCTTACTAATACTCAAAGACATTTTTGTGTAATACTAAAGATTCTAATTCTCCTTTCTCAACAATCTATATAACCCAGGCAAAACAAAACAAAAGAAAAAAATTTAAATGCAGACAAGAAACACATAAACGGAGCCCCATCTTCCTGTTCTTCTTCCTAAAACAGCATTCTGGATTGTGGAGTTTAGGATTATTATGGATTTTCCCTGTTTGCTCATGAACAAGTCTGCCTTCTGCCGTGCACATTCACCAACGCTCAGATCTCAGAGTGGCCACATTTAAAGGAAGAACAGCCAATTCACTGCAGTATTTCTGAGGGAAATTTGAGTACAGCTACCAGCACCCCCCCATCACCCCTCACCCACAAAGGGGTCAGGTTAGAGCGATGGGAGGGAAAAGCAGGACTTCTAAACACAGGGGAGCCAGGTAGCGTGATGGTAGAGACACACTCTGAAGTTAACAGTTAACTGTGAAATTCTAACAGGAACTCTTCTCCTCACAATACTCAACACTATCTGTCCTAATTACCAGACTAAGTGTCTGGCCCCAGAATGCAGCCCACATGTCTCCACCATCACTTTGTTTGCCAGAGGAGTCAATCAATGAATATCTGTTGAATCAATGTTTTTAAAATAGTTTGATTCCTAAAAATATTAGTTCACAATCTGAAGTCTTCCTTATTTAATATGAAGTAATATATAAAGCCCAAATGCCACTCAGAGGCTTTAAAAGTGTGAATGTGAATGGAGAAAACAATTTTCCTTTGACAAGATGTTCTTCCATTTAGCCACATCTAAGCTATCACATTTTTCGTTATAATCCTCTAATTCCCACCCAAGAGAAAAAATTACGTATATATAATCATCTTGAAATAAGTAAATTTACTACAAGATATTGACAGACTCAAACTAAAATGTACATGCAAATGTACAGAAATTATAATGTAATATTAAATATTAATTAAAAAGTAAATCATTTTCAAGTTATCCATGAAATAACCAATTACTTATAAAAGTATTTTTTCAGATACAACATAACTCTTATTTTCATTTTCTTTCCAGAGATTTTTTTCCTTTGAACCAATTATTGTGGGCCCAGTTTTTTCCTATATTCAGTCATCATCCCAATTAAAACATTTTTAAAAATACCCTCCATATACAGAACATAGCTAAAGTTAAAGACATTATATTAATTTATGTTAGGAAGACAAAAAGTATTAGTGTAAGATTCTTCCTTAAAACTCTAGTAACACCTTTTTAGGCTGCAAATTAATACTTTTAAAATATGATTTTTTCTTAAAGCAGAGATATCAAATTAACTTTAAATTAATAATGCAAGGTGTTAGTAGCTCAAATAATGAAGTCCTTAAACAGAAAAAGACGAAGAACGCAATAAAATAAAGATATAAATTAGCTAATAAACATATGAAGAGATACTCAAGTTCAGCAGAAATTGGGATAATAATATTTAAAACTGTAAGATTTAATTTTTCAAACCTCAGATTGGAAACAAATCTCAGGCATAAACTTTCCGTTTCTGCTGGTAGAGGTATACATTGACAAACATCTTTGGGAGAGAATCTGATCAAACAGTAGGAATTATACATTTGCACAACCTTTGATGGATAATCTAAGATTTTCTCCTACAGAATTAATCACATAAGTGTTGAAGGATGCATGTCCAAGGACATCACCAAAGTATTATTTATAAAGGTAAAAACCTGGGGTCAGTCTGGCAAGACTTCCCGTCCCACTTAGACAGTAGAAGACTGGAAAGAACACTGCTCCCACCATCACGGCAACAACAAAAGACCAAGTATGCACAGAATCGCCGCTCTTCTTCAACTCTCAAAGAGCTGAGGTTGCAGAGCAACTAACTAGTAACCTGAAGAAGGACAGGTGCTTCCAAGGAGAGAAGAAGAAGAGCGCTCTCTCACCCAAGGCAGACCCCAGATGCTATACAATTTGGTAAGAAGGATTTAGGTAAAAATTTTAACAAGTAGGGGTTGGTGTGAGCGTATAGAAGCCCTGGGAACTGCAGACTCACGGGAAATTCATACCTATTCACAGGTTCTTCTTCACGGACCTTACTGGGTGCTCAGTTGAAAAACTAGAGGCAGAGAAAGAGATTAGAGAAAGCTTCCCTCCCAGCACAGGCCAGGGTGAGAGGAGCAGCAACCTGCAGGAAAGACACAAAGTCCCACCCGGATCCTTCTCTGTCTCCTCCATGCCACAGAAGACTTAGAGCACTGGGGAAAAGGCAACAAACCTTCTCGCCATTCAAACACATGCAAAGACCCACTGCACCTGCAGTTAGGGAAACGAGGAAAACCAAACAAGCAACAAAATAAAACCATTTACCATGGAGAAGGAGTAGAAAGACATCTTGGGTCCTGACCATTAGATAGCTCCCCTACTAGTGGTGAGGAGGGGATGATGAAAAGTCCACCCCCCTGAGACCCAGGGATACAATATCTGCCTAGGACTAAATCTGTACCAGAACATTGGGGAATGCTCCTCAGACCTTCAGACCCCTCTACCATGCCAGCAAATGCCAAGGAACTAGTAAGAGCACCCTTCTGGGGTGAGGCAAGACCTTGGAAAGACACTTTCTTGAGGCATGTCATATAAGGAATACCTAAAGCAGAGGATGGATCAGCTACTAAGAAAACTCCTCTGGCAAATTAGCCACTACCCTAAGCACAAGGTGATATTAAAGGAATGTGAAGGGTAGTTATGGAAACAAGAAACCTAAGCAGCTCAACTCTTGACGAGATTGATTCAATCCCCTTCATTAAGGGCCTAGCAAAAGCAGAGATGTGCTCATCTCCATACATAAATATTATTTATCTCCCTCCCTACTGTTCTATATAAGATGCCCCTCTTTAAGCCAAAAATTATGCAATACAGAAGGAAGCAAGGAAAAACAAAATATAGTCAAGAGACAAAGCAATCAACATGGCCAGACTTAGACATGACACAGAGGTTGGAACTATCAGACAGGGAATTTAAAATAATTATGATTAATAAGTTGTGCAGGCACAGGTGGAAAAGGCAGACAACATGTACAAACAGATGGGAAATTTCAACAGAGAGGTGAACATTTTAAGAAAGAACCAAATGGAAATGCTAGGAATGAAGATGAATCCTTTCAAGGCATTACTCAGTAGACTCAGTACAACTGAGAAATTAGTGAACCTTACAGCAGGTCAACTGAATTTACCTAAAGTTAATCAGCTTATGTGCCAATAATCTTTAAATAATAACATAAGCATATTCAACAGGCTTCCCCCCCGCCGCCAATAGACTGGAAACATTTTATAAAAAGTCTTTAACAGTATGAATATGCTAATATTGTGCTGGCACATAGTAAACACTCAGTAATGTTTACTGAAGGAATTATTGCTGTTTGTCAAAGAGTAAATTTAGCCATTAATGAAAAAAGAGAGAGGAAATGGGAAATCACTTACCATAGTTGATGCTAAACTGAGCAACTCCAGAACCAGGAAAGTAGGAACCCTTCTCCACAGAGACAAGGCAATGCTTATTCTGTTTTTCTTGAATAATCTCCTTTACTCCTGAAGCTCCTTGATTCATCAAATTCCAGCCTCGTATACACCCATCCAGACGAGGGTTAATCTAACAAATTAAAATGTAGGTCGAGTGCATTTTAAACTTAAACAAGTCAGACTCACAAGTGGCTTAAGTGATTATAGCTGTAGGTTTTCATTGAGAGGGAAAACACTTCCTTTGATGACATTTTAAAATATTTAAAATATTTTGAATTTTATCTAAATTTTTTTTTCAAGGTGTCCTTCAGATAGAGTCTTTTTCAGTAAAAGCGAGTTTATGCCATCACAAACCTCCACTGGGCTCCTAATGGTTTTTAACACCTCAAGCCCTACCTTCATCTCCAGTATGACCCAGTGGTTAACTTTTCTGCTCTCAGGTTCCATATATGCTTCCACCTGTGGCCCTGGGCTCTAAGATGCTTCTTGTTTTCTTTAATTGCATTTACAACATAGGTTTATTTTGCCATCAGACACTAAGCCTCTTCATGAACAAAAGTGTTTGCATTCTTTAGTCTCCACCAAAGCATCAAGTCAGACTCAACACATGTGGTGGGCATTTCATAAATAGCTGATTCTTTTTAAATTTATTTTACTTTTAAAATGTCTTGATTTATCAATTTCAAAGGACAAGTGTATTCATTCTGACATGGTTTAACTTGACTTCAGGTTTTATATCACAGAAATATTTTAAAAGTTAAGGTAAACATGAATTGCCACGAGTGAAAGACGGGTATAAAATGGTAAATATTTAAGTGAAATCAGCCAGTGTAATTGGCAGGCCCATGACTTCAAATAAAGTTTTTAAAGCTCTGTAAGGATAGAGATTAGTCTCCTCCATGAAGCCTATTCCACGGTTGTTAGATAAACATCATATTCAGAAAATCACCTGTAGTATCTGACCTCAATTTATGACAGGATGTAGTTACACTCACAGCAAATATTTTTTTTTTTAAAGTTCCAACTTACGTGCTAAATTTTAGTCCTAAAATAGACCTAAGAAAGTTTCTGACTGGCTTCTACAAAATAATGTGTTTTTGGACTCAATTACACGTATTTGTATGTTTAATAGGCGAATATGGACTATTGTGATGTTAACATTGATGGGATGCTTGAGAATTTAAAAAATCTCCTTCTGTGTGAGTAATGTTGGGGATTTAAACGGGCTCAAGCATCACTAATGGTATTTTTCCACGTCCAATACAAGCTGTCACAGTTGGTATATTCAACAAAATAACTTCTTTTGACTCTCGGAAAAACACATCTACAAATCTGTTTCAGACAAAAGGAATTCATCTGTGACAAATGTTATAAGCTTGAATCATTACCGGTCTAATGAGTGCATTCTCCACTTTCCGAGGTAATCCTGCAAAGTATACTTTGGTTTCTAAAAATCCATTTGTAAGCTTAAAAAGGTTTTCGGGTTTATTTATATTCATTACAGCTTCTTTAGCTATTTTTACACTAATACTGTATTCTAATTCTTCCACAGAGACCTACAATTAAAAAGACGAAAATTATCAATCAGACATCACTGCCTATCCTTTGAAACACTAACATTGAGAAATCACGTTATTATCCCAGTACTCAAAGTAATCATCATAATGTAACTACTAATTTGTTTCCACCCATTTGAAATGTCAAATTATTATAAAAGTGATAAAAATACATTTTAAAAATGTGTTTGATTTAAAATTAAATGAATACCATATTTTAAAGTTCAATCTCAGTATGGCATAAAATTAAGTTTAAAAAAAGTGAACTACTCTAAAAAATCTTTAAAATTTTTTAACTCTTATTTACTCTTATTTTCCAATTGTCTGATAGTACACATATGGAATAAATAATGTAAATAGATTATTAATATGAATTAAGAGAAATCAGTGCATCCAGTATTCTGTTCACTACATGCAAATTATATTTCAAAATTCAAAAGTAATTGAAGTCATAAGGAAGCACAATACATAAAACTAAATTTGGGTTTTCCAATTTTGAAAGTAGTTTGGGTTTTTAAAAAAGGTTGGAAGTGATGGCAAACAACAGTAAAAAAGTCCTCCCCAGAAGGCAAGTCAAAGAACCACTGCTGCAAGCTCCTCGTGTGACACTGCAGCACTCACTTACTAGTCAGTAACGGAAGCCAGCAACAGGCATATGGCAGCACCACTCCAGAAGGAGAAAAGCTGCTCTACAGTGAAATAAATTTGGTAACATTTACAGATTTAAAGTCGGTCAACACTCTGTGCTTAACACTGCCCACCAGCATCCTTTCAGTCTAATGACTGTTCCCTCCCTGAAAGATGTTCTGCCTTAGCGTCCAGGACCTCAGGCCGCTTGCTTCTCCTCCACATGCTTACCACTCCTTCTCAGCCTCCTTTGCCGGATCCCTCTCTTCTTCTCAATCTCTACAATAAGCCTCAAAGCTCAGCCCCCAGACCTTTTCCCTCTAGCCATGCAAATATTTCAAAATGGGGGCTCTACTGCCCCACTCTAGGGCATCTGGGAAATTCAGGGGTGGGGGCACTTTCAGTTGTCACAGCGAGGAGGAGCTATGCTGACACTGCAAGATGCAGGATAGTCATGCAAAATAAATAGTAAAATATCTGATATCCTGCAGGCTTTCTGAATACCCCTACTGTGTACTCATGTAGGGCACACTTACTCTTATAATCATCTGAGTCTGTGTATATGTAAACACAAAATACTAGTTGCACAATTTCAGCATTCACTAAACTTTTCAAGAATGTCACACTCTTGTAAACCAAGGATGGATTAATGTTTGTTTTGTTTGGATCTTTACCTAGACTTTCTCACCATTTTGGAAAATTACTATTACTCCTGGTAATACCCTTATGCACTTATGGTATTTGAGTTGCCCACATAACACCCCAGAATGAGTCTTCATTTGCAGCTTTCACGTTGTTCCATGCATAGGAGCAAACGTTGACAAGCATTGTACTTGAGCACTCATATATTGAAATATATATTATTTTATTACAAATTACTTTCCTGTATTTTGTTATATAATAGAGCATTATATTGGTTTCTATTAGTGATATGTGAAGGTAGCTTATGTTATTTACGCATTTCATTATAGGACAGTAAAGGAGCCTTATAAATATTTGGGCATTGGACAAGCTAGAGTTTAGAACCACAGACTGATGATAACCAATTTCATGGCCCCACTCTTTAGTGAACCCTACTTGCAACTCATGATGTCAACTCACAGGCAAACATTTACCTTCTTCCTATACATAATAATATTCTACTTAGAAATTTATCTAAATTCTCCTTCAAACAGCTGATATTTTCAATTTGTATAAACTCAGTGGAAAAAAATTGTTTGCTCTCTTTTAATGGAAAAGTGATTTTAGATAGCTGATTTGGGGACATTAGGCAGTGAAATTCTTCGGCACATTGGAGGCATAGCTTATGCATCAAATATTCTAGATACAGATGTAGGAAAGATGGAGCAGCAAAGTCACACTGATGAGGGCACCAGGAGAAGCCAGAGAATGTTAGTGATTTCTCTGACAGTTGCATCTGATCCTGTGCAGACACTATGCTTTCAGAGTTAGGAGGCCAAAATTTATGGCTGCCAAGGGACAGACAGCCCTCTTTTTGGTGAACCACATGTGTGTTCCACTGTACTGTATTACTGCCTCTTCAGTAACACATTTCACATCACATTGTATCAGTTCATAAGGCAGCATCAGCTACTAGACTGTGCGGTACTAAGCTCAAGAACAAGGAACACCTTCTGCTACAGGTCTAGCACTTGAATGCAGGAATTTAGCACTTTAGAAATGATCACTAAAAGTTATTGAATATATGGGGGCCGGCCCAGTGGCATAGCGGTTAAGTTCACACACTCTGCTTTGTGGCCTGGGGTTCATGGGCTTGGATCCAGGGTGCGGACCTACACATCACTCATCAAGCCATGCTGTGGCAGAGTCCCACATGCAAAATAGAGGGAGATTGGCACAGATGTTAGCTCAGGGCCAATCTTCCTCACCAAAAAAAAAAGTTATTGCATATGTGAGTGCATGAGTGGGTAAACAGATGAATGAAATGACTTAGTGATGACTTCACATGGCTTCTCAACATGGATCTCTCCTCAGCTCCCATAGGCATAGAAAGTGTCTCTTGCAGGCACCACATTCTAGGGTGAAGCTAATCTCTCAGCTGAAAGCAGCAATGACTCTATTACAGAAAAGAATTCTCCCCACTATAGACTATCAGAAATCCCTTCTCCAAGGGATTACTTTTCCTTCTCCAAAAAAACTTCCATTTTAATACATTTGATTAGTGTTGTTTTGTTTTTTATTTTTAAAGATTGGCCCTGAGCTAACATCTGTTGCTAATCTTCTTTTTTTTTTCTTCTTATCCCCAGAGCCCCCCAGTACATAGTTGTATATTCTACTTGTAGGTCCTTCCAGCTCTGCTATGTAGGAGGTGGCCTCAGCATGGCTCAATGAGTAGTGCTAGGTCCATGCCCAGGATCCAAACTGGCAAAACCCTGGGCCGCCAAAGTGAAGCACGTGAACTTAACCACTCAGCCAGGAGTTTGGCCCCTAAAATGTTCTTGATTAGTAACATAAAGTCTCATTTTTAGGGATGATCTAAAAATGCTAGTTTCTAAGTAATCTGATTGGTATTGGCTAGTATATACTGTTTATATAAATTATTAACCTATATGCTAAGATTTAAACTTGAATTAACTTTTTATTTTTTGGTGAGGAAGATTGGCCCTGAGCTAACATCTGTTGCCAATCTCCCTCTTTTTGCTTGAGGAAGATTGTCGCTGAGCTAACATCTGTGCCAGTCTTCCTCTATTTTGCATGTGCGACACTGCCACAGCGTGACTTCATGAGTAGTGGATAGGTCCGCGCTGGGCATCGGAACCCACAAGCCCCAGGCCACTGAAGCAGAGCACACGAATCTAACCACTACACCACCAGGCCAACCTTGAATTAACTTTTTGATTTTGTTACTATGTGTATTCTCTTTCATTTAAAAAATATTTGTGGGTATCCAGCATAGTCTTTGATCAGTGGAGTCTTTGCATAAACTGTTATGCCTGCTAATAATCTCTGACCTAGAAGAGAGGCACCAATGACAGCCACTAAAAAAGGCAAAAGTTAAAGACGGCAGTTCCTGAAAAACTTTAGTTACAGGAAATCCTAAATATATCAAGAGAGTTACCATTTCTCAGGCCGTTTCAGGGATTTACAGCACGCAGAATACACTACACACAACATCAGATAAACTCAACCTCATTTTAGTTTAGTATCACTATAAAAGTAATTATTAGTGATTTTATACAAACTGCGTCAAATTGGGAAGATTATTCCCGAAATCTACAAAACATACCATATTCCATAGACCATTATTAATAACTTTGCCTCCCGTTGTGATTTGGGTTGTATGTTCATTCTTAAACTGAATTTCAATCTTTCCATCACGAAGTGCAATCAGGAACCAAGCTGAGTGATCGAGAGATTCTGCATACAGGATAACACCTTCTGAATCATAGGTTCGGAAATCAAATTCAGCTGAAAATCTAAACAAGGGGCAAAGAGACAGCCTTAACAATGAGAAACAGGGAAGGCTCCATGCATTAATCTTTTTCCTTGTGCTGACAAACAGCAATATGTTGAAAGAGTCTACTATTCATTTCTTTCCCTGGAATTAATAAAAGAGAAAGGCAGAATTAGACTGCTCATGTATTATCTCTGGCTCCATGTGTGTTTAAAATCAAGTTATTATACTGTTTTGCTTATTCTTGGAGTCTTTTTTTCCCAGTGAACAGACACTTTGGTAATTTTTCATCTTTTTTTTTGGCATTTGTTTTGAAGGCACTCTTTCAAATACTGGAATTAATACACATGTATAAATATTAGGCATATTGAATATAATCTGACATTAAGGTTCTTTTTTTTTTCAGTATCCATAAGTGATTAGTAAAAAAATGTTACAATTTCATGATTGGTTTATCTGTCAAAAAGTATATTTTCCCTATGATTTCATACATATCAGGAAGGAATCACTCACAGAGACATACAAGATGGCATCTGGATGACTGCAGACATAATTACACTTTCATGTGTGGTAAGGAAGGTAAAGTCAAAAACTTTAAACTGTATCTGTCAGCTTGATTTCAAAAGCTCTGCAGAACTCTAGTTGCATAAATCACTCTAGCAGAGCACATGGGAGGACAGTTTACAGATGCAGTGAGCCACGTGTTTGGGGGTGGCTGAGCTCTGGCAACGCCTATTGCTATTAAGACTCGAGACACATACAGAGCTATTATAGAGGAGGAAAAATCTTACGAGTGCTGTATTAAAAAATATGTGTTGATTCAGAGTCCTTAGGACACTTCAATGAGAATCAGCATTAAAGTTTTCAAAGGACCAGCAAATCAAAATGACTGAAAAAACAAACAGGGAAGAGGAAAAATAGTTGTGTAACTGTCAGTCATCTAAGTTGAGGTAAAGGTATTTTAAGTTAAAAATGCAGGACTTCAGATAATTGCTAAATAAGGCAAGAAAGAATCCCACACTCTTATCTCCACATCTAATAGTCACAGTAACAGAGGCACCATCTGCAAGAGGCAGAGATCCACCTCCAGTTGAACAAAGGAAACGCGATAGAATAAACTTCTTAGTCTTTAGATTTCCAAGGAAATCTTGTAAAGGGGTAAATGCAGGTTGGACAGACATCAATGTAGTAGGAATTTACTGAACTCAGATTATATTTTTAAAAAGACACTTTGCTTGGAATAGGGACTTCCGTTCTCTTTCATGACCATCACATCTTGCTGACGTGAAGTGCGCATTATCTTGCCAAAACCCAAAGTGGTGTCTGCTCAGGATCTTCCAGAAGTTAATGCTGTTACGGAGATAATTTCCTTCTCTTTGTAAAATCATGCTAAACCAGTAATTCAAAGAGTTGTGCTCCATATATTTTTTATCTGGAATACATCAGCATACTGATTCACTACATTGGGGAACAATTCATTCTTTTTCAGAAGTATTGTAGCACAAAAAAAAGAGTGTATTTGTTAACTTTTAAGTATGGTAAGTATTCGATTGTGGGAAACAAAGCTGAAGGAATTTGCAGAAAAAGAGAAAAAACAAAAAAGCTTTAGCTGTTCTTTGTGTTGGTTACACAGGTGGCAGTTTATAAAAATTCACCAAGCCGTACATTTAAGATACAAGTACATTTCTGTATATATATATTATACTTCAATAAAAAGTTTAACTGACATAAATAATAAACAAATACATAAATACTGGAAAAAATAATTATTTGGCCAATTTGATCCAATGTTGGAGTCCAAACTACTGTGAATTGTCAGTGGGAAATGAATACCCCTGAAAGTGCCTGAAGATATGCAATAACTAACTTTTTTCTCTCTCATTCTCATTATTCTCATAGCAAGGAAGGGCTGTCTTCAACCTCTATCATTAGAAAATATTATTTGCTCTGAGATGTTAAAGGCAAAAACCAGGTCTTGGGGAAATGTGAGTGTTGAAGGAGCACAATTACATCCATGAATCTTAGAATAAATTTCAGTGTTCCATAATATTTCTATGAACTTAGTTGAATTATTTAATGAATAATCACTCATATATCTAATGAATTAAATTCTAAATATGCATGCTTATCTAATTAAGATATTTTAAAATTTGGACTCTGTAATCAGTCTCAAATATGTTTCCTTTTCATTATTCCAACAAAATTCCAATTTCTTTATTCTAGTTCCAATAATATATAGCTCTGAGAAAATTTGATAATTACAGTAGAATCACGACTCAAAAACACAAGCAAGTGCTCCCTCGCTAAAGTCAAGCTAACTGCAGGAGCAGCGGACACAGGGCTCAGAGTCTCTGAAATCACGTAACGCATTCCTTTAAATACCATTTAAGCAAGCCCATGAAATTTCCTTAATAATTATGAACATAGCTATATGTTAAAAACAATACTTTGAGTATTTTCTCATTACTTAGTTTTTATAACATGTATAAAGAAGAATGAAAATTTCACCAATACATTAAATCTACTTTCCCAGTTTCTTAGTAAATACGTATTCACTAGAAAAGGAAAAATGGTGGATTAAGGTAGAATGATCATTGGAGAAGGTCGGCCTAGAATGACCCAAAATGGTTCAAGCATGAAAATTACATGTGTGAAAGGGAAAATGAACTTTAGGATTCCACAAATCATCTGATTGATAACGCAATTCCATACATTTCAAACCCTTTCAGTCACTTCTTTTCTTCTGTCCTGACCTGCTTACCTCTAGAAATTATTATTGACATTAGTGCCTCACCTGGTTATATCTGGCAAACGAAATTTTAAATATAAAACAACCCCTACAAACTGCTCTGCCAAGTACAGTAATTCATAATTCTTGTCAAGGTTCAGGGGAAGGCAGACTGGAACAGCCTGGAGAAAAGGAAACAAACACAACACACAGTTACTGCTCGGCGTGTGGGTTCCACACCCTTTCTCTGGCTCCCATGCTCCGTCAAATGTATCCTCCGTCTCCACTGAGATAAATGAGGAACACCACTATCTTTTACTTCCTTTCTAGACCCTCCGTACAACCTCCAAGAATACGTGTGTTTTAAAGTCTTGTTCAATGTGTGTGGCTTTAGATTTTTGTCTTTAATCTTTCCTTTGCAAATCTCAGTCCAAAACACAACCTTTTCCCTCCCATAACAACATGTATCCCTTAATTAACTGCAGTTACGATGTGTTCCATGAATTATATCTGAAAATTATCTTTATTTGGAGTCAGAAATTGGTGGAAGAATTAATGTACCAGTAAATAGCACCTCATTCATTTACTCATTTATCTATTAATAAAAATGTTATGAGCAAAAATGTGCTATCTAGATAGTAAAGGTATGCTGGAAAACCCGAATGGTTTAAATATAAATTAAGATATCTTAATCTCCAAGAAATTTACAAAAAAGTGATTTAGAGTCATTAAATCCGATATCAAGGTTTTTTTTTCCTAAGAGTAGAAACAAACTTTAAAATGGAAGGCTTTTTAGGGAAAAGTTCTTGGGCCTACATATAGGGGTATTCTAGGGGAAATCTAGGTCCAGAAATAAGATTTTCCTCTTAGAACTTCAACAAATCTATTCCAAGGTATATGGTGATGTGTAACTACAACAAATCTGAAATTATAAGAGACTAAATTACAAAATAGTCATCCACACAGCATAGCATTTCAGGTCAACACTCTCAAAGTCACTGCATATGCCAGCCAGCTCACCCGACCTTCTCGACCAAGGAGGTGACATAACAGCAAATGCACATTTTTTGGACACATGCAGCTTTGTCTTGGTAACAGATGTAGACATATGTGTAGACACATGATTAAATAATTCTTTAGGGGCTTTTTGTTTTGGTTTGGTTTTTTTACTGTCTGCCTCAATCACATGAAATTTCACTTTCACATGTAAAAAGTAACAGAGATGCAAGAATTGGGCTAAGGATCACTAACATGTAATTCTTATTTAGGAAAAAAAGAGCTTCAGATGTTGACCTATTTACTTCAATGGAGGAGAAACTAGAACCTACCCCCAACATTTAATTTCTGGGTCAATTATGAATTAAATCCAAGTGACTACAAGCAAATTTGAGAGACAGAGATTAACAAAATCGTCCTTTCTGAATTTTGATAAACTTAAACCCACTAAACCCTACTCCGGGGAAGCTGCTGCCGCGGAATTCCCTGAGCACCGTCGCGAGGGCTAGTGCGCTCAGGCGCGACCAAACCGTCAGCGCGATGAAGAAACATCAATGCTTGAAAACGCTTCTATGCAAAATTTTTTCTCACCAAGAGGAGAATGAATCTCAGGGTTTCTCAGTGTCTTAAGTAAACACACACTTTGCATTTTGTAACTGTGCAGGCTGCACAGATGAGCATCTCTGAGCTGTGACCCTGCAGTGGCCCTGTTTTCACTCGCTCATGACTTACCCCCAACGTTTACCACTTACATGACCAAAATTAGTAAAAAGATTGTAACTCACAGCCTGCTTGGAACTATAACAGTTATTACAGAGCATGTGCATTTTCCTGACTTACCTCCGCTATATAAGTACCTGAATAAGTACCTGAATCTCTCGTTTTAAAAAGAGGTGGGAAGTTTAGCATCACGAGATGTTACCTCACAACTCTTCTGATCTTGGGCAAGTTTGAATCCTTTCTTGCCATCACAATAACAGTAGTAACCCCCAGGGTAATTGACACAAAGTTGAGCACACATGTTCTCAGAGCATTCATCCACATCTATGATAAAAGAGAACATAAATTTTAATATCTCCTAAATGTTCAATCCAATAGAAGAAGGAGTATTCTGATTTTAGTACGACATAATCAATGATAAATCCTCAGTCAAAGAAACCCTTGTGACATCAAACCACATTTATACACTTGGCACAGAAATTTAAATGAGTTACAAGTGTAATTTATATTTATTTACATACTCAAAACAAATTTAATGTATAACTCTCAGTAATTCATAATTAATAAAACTATAACAATTATACTAATTTTCTCATTTTTAAGAAAAAAAGACTGAGAGTCTCAAGTTAACTGTCATTCTGATTATATGAATTCCAATGACACTACCTCTCAATTCTTTGTTTTGAGGAAAAAAAGGAAAAGAAATGGAAGGGGAGTGGAGGGGAGGCGAGATAGGGAGATAAAGGGAAGAAAAGATCCCTTTTAACTGAAGGTTAATGTAATTTGGAATAAATGACAATATCAATAACATTTGACTTTTCACAATGCAATGATTATTGGTGGCAATAAATTTAAGGGCATAGCCTCATTTTTTATTATTATTTTTTTTAAAAAAAACCTCACTATGCTATTACCTCCCATATTGTGAAATCTTCTATGTGGTTCCTGTCCTGGGTTCATATTTTGAGAAAATCATTCTTGAAAAGTTGTATTAATATACTTCAGCTAAAGTCCACTCCAGAGTTACGTAAGATCCTTGACTTTTTTGATGAATGCACACCATGACCTTTGAAAATTCCCAAGTTCATAAATGCTATTACAGTGTAAGTTCCCCTACAAAGTGCCTTAAAATAAAACCCCAAAATCAGTGATCTCTTAATGCCATTAAAATCAAATGATATATGATTAGAGTAGTAAAATATTAGATAAATGCCATATATAAATTTTTTCTTAAAAATCTGGCATTCATTGAATAAAACTACAATAAGGATTATGAAGTTGGCTAATGATAAATCTGCAAATTACCACAATAATTTCCATCTAGAGTAGCAGAAGAGTAGAAATGGTGTGTAGGGGGATATCTTTTGGTGAGTGCACAAGGAGGTAAGACATCAAAGTCTCAAGAGGAGTATAGATAGTTGAAAAAAAAAAAACCTGTTCTAAAATTATTATTGATTTAGGCAAACTTATAGAGACAGAAAGCAGATTAGAGGTTACCAGGATTAGGGGAGGGAGGAGGAGGAATTTACTGCTTCATGGTTACAGAGTTGTGTTTGGGGTGATGAGAAAGTTTCAGAACAGATAGTGATAATGGCTGCATAACTGTGAATGTAATTAATGCCACTAAATTGTACATCTAAAAATCATTACCATATGTCCATATTGCCTAAAGCAATCTACAGATTCAATGCAATCCCAATCAGAATCCCAATGACATTCTTCACGGAAATAGAACAAAGAATCCTAAAATGTATAGAGGCAACAAAAGACTCTGACTGGCCAAAACAATCCTGAGAAAAAAGAACAAAGCTGGAAGTACCACACTCCCTGAAGCGAAAATACACTACAAAGCTATAGTAATCAAAACAGCACAGTACTGGCACAAAAACAGATATATAGATCAATAGAACAGAATTGAAAGCCCAGAAATAAAACCACAAATCTACGGAGAGCAAATTTTCAACAAAAGAACCAAGAACATACAATGGAGAAAGGAGAGCCTCTTCAATAAATGGTGTTGGGGAAATTAGACAGACGCAAAAGAATGAAAGTAGACCATTACCTTACACCATGCACAACAATCAACTCAAAATACATTAAAGACTTGAATGTAAGACCTGAAACCATACAACTCCTAGAAGAAGATATATATAGTACACTCTCTAACATCCATTTTAGTAGTGTCTTTTCTACTCAGGCAAGGGAAACAAAAGACAAAATATACAAATGGGACTACATCAGACTGAAGAGCTTCTGCAAAGCAAAGGAAACCATCAACAAAATGAAAAGACAACCCACCAACTGGAAGAAAATATTTGCAAATCACATACCTGACAAGGGGTTAATTTCCAAAATACATAAAGAACTCACACACCTCAATAACAAAAAAGTGAACAACCTGAATAAAAAATGGGCAGAGGATATGAACAGACATTTTTCCAAGGAAGATATACAGATGGCCAATAGGCACATGAAAAGATGTTCAACATCACTAATCATTAGGAAAATGAAAATCAAAACGACAATGAGATATCACCTTACACCTGTCAGAATGGCTGTAATTACCAAGACAAAAACAACAAATGTTAGAGAGGATGTGGAGAAAAAGGAACCCTCATACACTGCTGGTGGGAATGCAAACTGGTGCAGCCACTATGGAAAATAGTATGGAGAGTTCTCAAAAAATTAGAAATGGAAATACTATATGACTCAGCTATTCCACTACTTATCCAAAGAACATGAAATCAACAATTCAAAGAGACTTATGCACCCTATGTTCATTGCAGCACTATTCACAACAACCAAGACATGGAAGCAACCCAAGTGCCCATTCACCAATGATTGGATAAAGAAAGTGTGGTGTATATATATACAATGGAATACTACTCAGCCATAAAAAGAGACAAAAATCAAACCATTTGCAACAACATGGACAGACCTTGAGGGTATTATGCTAAGCGAAATAAGCCAAAGAAAGACAAACACTGTATGATTTCACTCATGTGTGGAAGATAAACAAACACATAGATAAGGAGAACAGATTGGTGGTTACCAGAAGAGAAGCAGGTGGGGGGAGGGGGAAAGGGACAAAGGGGCACTTATGTATGGTGATGGAGAAAAATTAGACTATTGGTGGTTAACACAATGCAGTCTATACAGAAACTGAAATATAATAATGTACACCTGAAATTCATAGTGTTATAAGCCAATATTACTTCAATAAAATAATTTGAAAAATGGCTAAATGGGCACATTATATCTGAGAAATATTTTGCCACAATAGAGAAATTACTGCTGATTTGATTAGTTTTAGTCATGGTATTAAATTCACTTTGAAATTTTTAAAAATTTAAAGGAAGATGTGAAATAATTTGTCTATATTCATGATTATAAAAAAATCTCCTAGTCCGTCCAAGCTCCCCGAACACATGGCAGCACCACCACAGCCAAACGAGGTAACCACACGTCAAGGGCACCCCAGCCCCCGGCCTTGGCCTCTGCTACTGATCAGAACGTCTCAGATTTCTAGAGCTCAGTTATCATTTGGTTATGATGAGACTTTTATGCATATTTAATTATAACAGAACGGTGTCATTTCCTATTTTACAATAAATGACATACTGACATATGCACAAAAAATCACTGAAAAGCTTGGCATGAAACCGAAGACATCTAACTGTCCTTGTAACCTCCACGTGATTTTTAAGCTTGTCTTTCTTTGTGTACTTGTGTTTCTGTATGTGTGTTTCTCCTTCTATCTTGAAATTCTTTTTATCTTTGAATATTGTTTAAATGATATGAAAATGTGTTTACTTTGCTTTTAACATACACGGGTCATCTCCAATTCATGTATAGCTTGGAGGGCCAATCTAAGGAGGGTATAACATAAACCTAAAGACCATGTGCCTCACATACTCATTCTCTGGAAGGAAGCCAACGATGACCCAGTCACCAAACTATATCATGAATTGTACCATCTTAGAAAACCTGATCGTTGATGTCAAACAGAACCAATGCTTCTAATACCAAATCAGGGTTCAAACCTACCCTCTCCAGCATCAACAACGGTACCACCACAACTCTACCTTCACAAGACTTTGAGCTGGGATTGTAGCTGTAGCCTTCGGCGCATTCACATTCATAGTCTCCTGGGACATTCTTGCACACAGCTGTGCCACAAATGCTTGGCTGTGTAGTGCATTCATCCACATCTGTAAATGAAACTAATATATTAAAAACCATTTTTCCCATACCAGAAGGTGCACCCAAAGAACCCTTGACGTAGGTTTCCTGGACCTAGTTTAACATATGCAATGAGACAACAGAGTGGCCTGACAATAACAAAGTATTAAATCTATCATCATATTTTAGTTCACTAAATATGATTTCTTGATCCAAATGCATAGGGAATTTGACTGATGTTTGCCATGTTCCTTTGTAATTGCATAAAAGAAGGAGAGGGGTTTAGTTACGTTTTTATCTATCAGGTTACAGTATGAAAATAAATAGGAGAAGAGAGTTACCATATTCTTAATATGTAATCCTAAATACATGTTTCTGAAATACAGTCTTAAGCATATATTCACTCTGTATTATCACAAATACGAATTTAAAAATGAGGTGGCTCGTCAGTCTTACATTTTCCCTTTGGAAATAGATAATAGCTAAATCTGCATACTGTTATTGTTGCCTGAAGTATTCAATAGTAATTCAAATTTAAAATGAGACTGAGAAGGTCTCAAAGTATTTATAAAGATGCAGTGAATATAAACTTTAGTGCTAAATTAATGTTCCAGAAATTTCAGAAGTGTTTATTATGTTCCATAACAGAGTAGGAGACAAAGTGTTGATTGTAACTACTTACTAGATAAGCACCTGTGAGAAAAACAAAATAAGTGACAGAAATAGTTCAATGGAGACGTAACTATTAGTGAACTTTTCCCCTCTGTCCTCTCTGGAGAAAGACAAGCTCGGAATGGAAAATATATTTTCTCCACTAAATAGATGAGAGTTTAATTTTTCCACAAACTAACAGCCAAAAATTGAAACATTATTTAAAATAACATGCACAAAAATAATAAAATCAATCTCTATGGTAAAGGAATTTTTCTGTAGCTTGACCATTTCAATGTCAATATTGTGGGTATGATAATACACTATTGTGTTGTAAAATGTTACTACTGGGGGAAACTGGGAAAAGGACACACAGGATCTCTTATTATTATTTCTTACAACTGCATGTAATCTACAATTGCTGCAAAATAAAAGTTATTTTTTAAAAAAGAGCTATAAAATCAATATTTTTAAAAGAAAGTGAAAGTATTTGGTTTGAGGCATATTGCAAGACTTATTTAAATCATATGAGTTCAGGTTCCAGCATATTGATGTTATGACTCTACACTGACATCCAACATCTAATGAGAAGTTTTATTCTTGCATTTGTAGACATTTACTGGCAACTGGATCCCAAGAATATCCACATCTTGGCAAAGGCCCTATTGTAATAGTTGTATACATAGTCTTCTAATAATTCTGTACTCTATCACTTAGGTATCATGGATAAGAGACTCTGTAAATGAAGCATACAAGAACATACGTTCTGGGCATCAGGGACATTCTTATGTATAAGAAAACTTTTTGTAATTATTTACATATGTGTATTAACTCAATGGATAAGGATTAAATACCTTTTAACCAAAAACGTAAGTCACAAATTCTTTAGAAGGACTATCCAAGTATTTAAATGTAAACGTATGAATGGGATTATTTACTTATGGAATGCATTTGGTATCGTGCATTATGATGGTTTTCTGTAATGGTGTTCTAATGATATTGTTATTCTAAATTTCCAACCTCAAATAGACCTTCAAATAGGCAGACAAGAAAGAGATACGGTCACAAATTGTTTAGAAAAAATTGCTAAGGTAGTTCACGTTAGAGTCATTCATTGTACTTTAAATAATATTGTAGTAAACCATACCATACCAAACTCTACAGTGCAGTGAGAAACAGACCATTCCTTGCACATAATTCAATTTGGGGATTTAACAAAGCAGATATGAAAAGAGTTTAACAGGAAAAATTTTGCAATTTAACTTACTAAATTTCTTTACCTTGCTGCAAGAAGACGAAGAAGAGGAGGAGTAGGAAGAAGAAAGAAAAAGAGAGAGAGGGAGGAGGAGAGGGAAGAAGGAAGGAAGAAAAGAAGAAAGAAAAATTTGCTCCCAGTTTCCAAAAGCAAAATTTAACTCCAGGCTGGAAAATCTCGTTTTTAGGCATCCACACACCTACACTTACATTTGGAGATTTAGCTACGGCAGCTACACCAGTCTAACGGAAAAGACATGCAGAGAGAAAAACAGTCAAAACTGGGGGAAGAGAAGCATAAAGAAAAACAAAAGAAATACACTAGTAAAATGACGTGTTAAAAAGTTAAACTGACAGGGATTATTTAAGTTTGAAATAAAAAAAAGAATTATGACCAATGATGTGATCTTAAATGTATAAAGTGAAAGAAAACCAGATCATCTTTCCCAAAAGCACAACGGGAAATGAGCTGCAAGATGAAAGGTTTATATTGGAAATTATAAAGGTGTTTAGGACAAGGAAATATAAAATACTAAGGATTCTGGTGGATTTCTTTGTATAGCTGTTTATCTTATTTTAATAAAGGAAATAATATTGTGGTATCTGAAGAAAAGCAAAAACAATGATTTTTCAAAGATTGTAGTATGCAGGGATATGATGAAATTCTTTACAAAATGCACATGTGCACACGCACACATACACACACAGTAAGAAAAAACAAAATGCTCTATACATAACAAAAAGCCCTAGAAACAATAAACCAAAAGGCAGTCCAATAGTAACATGAGGCTTCAAGGCAGATAATAATGTGTATTTATTATAAGGACTTATAACCAGAGAGTTTTCCAAGAATTTCCTGGAGAAATTCCTCTAACTGGATTTAGCTCTCACTCGGGAAACACCTCTTCATTGTACCTTCTTGCTCTTACCTTTGCAGTCCTTTTCATTTGAAAGCATAACGAAACCACCTTTACAGGAACAGTAGTAACTTCCAGGAGTATTATTACAAATCTGGCTGCAACCTCCATTTACATTCAAGGGATCTTTGCACTCATTTACATCTAAAAAGGGGGAAATAAATTATTTCTAAAGTAATGAAGTCTTCAGGAACTTTCCAGGAGGCCAATCCGGATGAGCTGGGTGGGTTTACTATACATACCAGATTCACACATCTCTCCTTGCCAACCTGATTTACACACGCACGTGAATGTGGCTTGGCCGTCTTTGCAGCTCATATATCCATCCTCCTTGCACGGCAGAGGATTACACTGGTCTGGAATGGCTGAAGGAAACAGACGTCATTTAATTTCTGCCACATGCTATGGTAAGCAGAATTATATGCCCTTTAATAGAAATCCTGTGCACAAAGCCTATAATCAATGGAAAAATTATAAATCTTTCCTTCAAATAATACTTTTTCATAAAAAAGTGAGTCCATTAGACAAAATTTTATAATTATTTTGCAAAAGGAAACTTTTATATTTGCAAATATATACAGTATTTTAAAGCTGTAATTTAGGTATTCTTCATATATACTACCTTATTTTATCCTTAAGATAAATCCACAAGATATTCAGAACAAATAAAACTATTCTCAGTATCAATAGCAGAAAGAATTTGAGACTTCCAATTTGGGCTAAGATGGAGAAACGGGGACCAGACATATCCTCCTGCTTTAAATAAATACAACTCTAGTCAAAATACATGAAACAATGGTTTGAGACATTGGACAACAGGTAGCAGAGTACTATGGTCCCTCACGGAGGGACAACTTCTTCAAAAAGTGTCACAGCAACTTATCACCATCTTAAATGACAGGCCCATTTGTTTCCTTACTCATTTGCAGTCTCTGCCCTCAATAGACACTGTGGCCCCTCGCTGCCTGCACATTTCCACACCTGCTGCTCAAGGCTGCATCGAACTACAAGTTCGTTCCATCCTTCCAGGCCAGTCCCCCTTGTCAGTTAGCCAGTGGGAATTTCTGTTACTTGCAAGAAAAATGTTTTTAAAAACCTAGCTGAAACCTAATCACTGAATTTTTCAAAAAATGACCCCATAAGTTTTTTGAAAAGTAGCAATAAACTAGGTATTAGTTAAAATGATAGAAAGACATCAGAAAATAGTTTTCAAATTATTTTCCTATCCTTTGGTAAATTAAAAAAGATAAAGTGTTATATGGTGATGGACAAGAAAAAATGTACAGCTGAAATTTCACAATGATGTAAACTATTACGAACTCAATAAAAATTTTTTTAAAACAGGAAAAAAATAAAGTATGAATTAAATATATGTGTTTTACTTGTGTAATTATAACCAACTTTAAATTAGAGAAAATGCAAATAAATAAATATCTAGATAATGCCAATGCTGAATGTAAAATATTCACTGTAAAAACATCCCAATTCACATCTTGAAATTTTATCTTTTTCTCTTTGACTCTCAGTTGGGAAACTGGTAAATTAGAGGCAAACAATCTACCAGAACTGTCACTGGAACTTCTGAGGGAGAAGACTGACGATATTCTAATATTTTCCACATTATGTTATTGATGCCAGAAGAGTAAAGATGGCCCCACTCCGACCTATTAGTCAACTGCAGCACGTGGTCAGACTGCAGGATTGTGCAGCAACAGGCAAAATAAGGCTGCTGGGAAGAGCACGCTAAGGGCAGCGACCTAAAGTAAACAAGGAACACGCTCTATTTAAACGTTGGGTGGAAAATTCATTTTGAGTAAAACAGCAGCATTTACTCTGAAAACACCTCCTTACTGGGCATACAACCCTCCAAGGGCTTGTTTATTGATTTTTAAACATTAGTCATATTTACAAGTGTACTGTACTTGCAGGTTTTTGTTTAGCTTTGTTTTCTAAATAGATGGTAGGGTGTTTACCATTGACACAGCTCCGCAAGTCAGGGTAAGCGTTTGTCGACTGACGTGCAGCCGTGAACAGTCCAGCTCGGAAAGAACCAAGACAACCTGTGAATGCAAACACGTGAGATCTTAGAGCAGACACACGGAACTTCATCTGAAGTCATCCAAAACAGAAATGTCCAAAGAGTGAACTCTTTCTGCTCCTGTGGATTTATAGGATTTAGCATTCAAAATGTGAGCCCTAAATACTTCCATTCACCTTTTTGAAAAACTAAAAATCTACACACAAGATTACAAGAAATACAGAATCATCAAAAACAAGTCTGTGGAAGTCTCTCTTTGGAAAAGAATCTTAAAGCCAAAAGTGAAAAAGATCTTGGATTAGCAGGGAAATTTATTGTCACATAAATCTGTGTTCTTAATTCTGCAGCAGAGATGTGAAGTTATCCTCAAATCTGTAGACCAGGGCCTGGTTAGGAAAGTGTCTCCACTTAAGTCAGTAGAATGAGCTAGCGTCTCTGGTTGCTGTAGGCAACTCCCAGTCCTTCCAATGTTGTGTAGAGGCTAACACGATATTTGTATGATACCTCAGTATTACAAAGCAGGTTTCCCTGACCCATTTTATTCCTCACTACAACTCTAAGAAACTAGATATAGCAACCTGGCAGAAATAACAGCTGAAGTAGTAGAGATAAAATACTTATGGCCTTAAAGGAACTAGGGGTCATTTAGTGCCAACAATATAACATTTCTTAATAGCCACTGAAGATATTATATGTTACTTCATTGTACAGATAGTCACTATCTAACTGAAAAGGTGGATTTAGTTATCTTTTCCTGAGTAACAAACAACTCCCAAAATTAGTAGCTTAAAATAATCATTCTATTTTGTTCACGATCTGTGGGTCAAATATTTGGAGAGGGTTTGTTTGGGCTGTTTGTGTCTGCTGCGCACACTGAAGGAGCCACCTCCAACACAGCTTTGCGCTCACCTGTCTGACAGCTCAGGCTCCCTGGCCTCTCTCTCCACATGGCATGTCAAGCTTCAGGGCTTCTCCCTGTGCCGAATGTCTCTTAGCTGGTCCTAAAGCAGCGCTTCTTTCATGGCAGCTAGCTTCCAAGAGGAAGAAGGTGGAAGCTGCCAGGCCAATTAGGAGGCGTTTTGTCACTTCCACCATATTCCTTTGATCAGGCAGTCCCAGGGTCCACCCAGCTTCAAGCGGGAGGAGTGGCAAGGATAGACCCCAGATAGTGATGCGGGCGGCAAGACGACATTGCAGAAGAGTGTGTGAGGTGGAGTACATTTTACAGCCATCTTTGGAAAACACAGTTTATCACAGATGGATCCAAAGGCTCATTTGAAGTCAGTGTGTGTATTGGTTTCCTATTGGTGCTGTGACAAATTACCACAATCTTGGTGGCTTAAAACAACCCGAGTTTATTCTCTTACAGCTACAGGGATCAGAAGTCTAAAACTAAGGTGTCAGCAGGGCTGGCTCCTTCCGGAGACTTAAGGAGAGTCTGTTTCCTTGCCTTTTCAGCTGCTGGAGGCCACTTGCATTCCTTGGCTCATGGACCCGTCCTCACGTCACTCCCAACTTCTGCTTCATTGTCACATGTCCTACTACCAACCCTGATCTCCTGTCTTCCTCGCATAAGGACATTATGATTACACTGAGCCCATCCAGATAATCCAGGATAACGTCCCCATCTCTAGATCCCTTTTGTCATATAGGGTAACATTCATAGGTTCTGAGGATTAGGACATGAACATCTTTGGGGGGTCATTATTCAGCCTACCATGCTGGGTTAGAATATTTTCCCATAGAAACAAGACCTTACATCATGATGGTCTTTCTGGAGGCCAAATGAGACCTAAGCAGTTTTACATCTTGAGTATTCTTTCCCTGTGTTCATTTGTCCCTCCTCCTGAATCACCCAATCCCCAAATCAGCTTTTTCTATTGTGGATATTACATTAGGATCCTCGTCTGTGAGAAAGCCTACTTTTGCACCTCTGGACAAATTTGACAAAGAATAACAACCAAAACTTGAAAGTCTTTAGGTTGAAGGTACCAGGTAAAATGTTTCATATGGTGATCAGGATCCCAGGCTAGAGTGCAAAGTAGATTTAACCCATAAAGCAACTTTTACAGAAGTTTATAGGAATAGACGTGATCATGTGCTAATGGAAACCCGCACCCAGGATTACAGTGTGGAGAGCCAGTCGCATAGCCACCCCAAAGCAGCGCAGTACAGAGCCCTCGCTTCCCACTTCTTTCTTATTGCACAGCAGGACTGGGGGGGGAGGGGGGGTTGGAGAGAGTGAGTAGGCAGGTGAGACCTGGAGACAGGTTGTCCTAGCTTTTGTAGCCTGAAGCAGAAGAGATGGGATTAGAAACAGAAATTAGGGCCATAAGGGAGGAAAGCCTAAGAAAAAGGCACTTTCAGGAGAGGTTCCAGTGGTCAGGACAGAGTAGCCTAGAAAGAAATGTTGGTTCTATGCTATGACAGTTCCTACAAATACCTTCTATTTACTTTTTTTCCTCATTGATTTTATTAGGGACCAAACTATTGAACTCCCTTTTACCACCAAGACTGTGTTGGCTGTCTTAATTTGTCAATTTTGAAAAATAGTTCAAACAGCCATTGTCACCTAAAGAAAGGTTGTATTGGGATTACAGCAGAGCCAGAGTCCTGTAAAGTTTTCTTCTCTCCAAGAAACTACTCTACATCCCTCTTCTTTAAATCACAGAAGAGGTCATTACGTAAAAGTCTGAACGTTTGCTTGTTTTCAATTCTAAAGCAGAAAGCTGAGCTATTCATACTCCCTCTTTAATGGTACATTATCATTATTGGCCTTTGAAAAGCCCATTGCTTGCTGCTCTAAAATATATATACTCCTTTTTTTTGCTGAGGAAGATTTGCCCTGAGCTAGCATCTTGTGCCAGTCTTCCTCTATTTTCTATGTGGATCACTGCCACAACATGATGAGTAGTGTAGGTCCGCACCCCAGAACCAAACCCAGGCTGCCAGGCCACGTGGCTGGCCCCTATGTGCTCCTTTTCATCTCCATGTACGCTCTCATTCACCAATTAGGCAACCATTCGAATGGGTTAATATATATTTTTTCATTTGTATGTGTTCTTATGAAATACGTATTTATAATTTTGTGTTCATGAATTTTTAAATCTGTAAATGGTTGTGTTTTACGTATCACATTCTCTGACATTTCTTATTCAGTACTGTATTTTTATGATCCATCCATGCTGCTCCATATAATTTATTGTTTCTAACTGCTAAACATTACTCCATGGCATGCAACTACCATTTTTATAATCCTCTCTACCCATGAGAGATACTCAGATTGCCTCCAGTTTCCCACCCCTACAAGCAGCACTGCATGGACATCTTCATGCACGTCTCATTAATGCATGCATAAGAATTTCTTCGGGGAGCCAGCCTGGTGGCATAGTGGTTAAGTTTACACGCTCTGCATCAGCAGCCTGGGGTTTGTGGGTTCGGATTCTGGGCACAGACCTACACACCACTCATCGAGCCATGCTGTGGTGGCGTCACACATACAAAATACAGGAAGATTGGCACAGATGTTAGCTCAGGACCAATCTTTCTCAAGCAAAAAGAGGAAGATTGCCAACAAGTGTCAGCTCAGGGCCAATTTTCCTCACACACACAAAAAAATTTCTTTGGAATGGGTATCCAGGGGTTTCCAGAACTGTAGGATCATTAGATAGGTATGTACTTAGTGTCTCTCCAGAGGCACATTTCCACCAGCAGAGCATAAGAATTTCTATGTCTTGGCTTCCTAATTGTTGCCAGAATAGGTAATGAAGTGATATATTGTTTTTCTGATTTCTAGTGACAGGGAGCATATCTTCATGTCACATAAAAAATTGGGGGGTTTGTTCCTCTGAAAATTTTCTTTATTATTTTTAAACTGTTTTTCTATTGGTACTTATTGTTCATGTAGGTTTGCAGAAATTCAAACATTTATAAATCTCTCTCGTTTTGTTATCTGTCTCTTAACCTTATTTTTATGTCTGTCTTTTAAGAGAAGCTCTTAATTTTGTTGTAATCAAATTTACCAATTATTTTGCCTTATGGTTTGTGCATTTGCAGGTTTTTTTCCATGCCATTGATCACAAAAATATTTTCCCATATTTTTTCTTTAATTTCATAGTTTTACCTTGAAATTTCGGTCTTTATTCCACCTAGAATTCATCTTTATGTTGGGTGGTAGTTAGAAACCCAGATTTATTTTTCTGATTATAGTTAGCCAGTCCTCCCAACTTCATCTCCTCAGCAATTCATGGTGATTTGTGGTGTCATCTTTATCAAATATTAGGTTTCCATATATACATGAGTCTACCCCTAAACTCTTTATGTTCACTAGTCAACATGTTCTTTTGACAATATCATACGGATTTCTTTCTATAGTTTTGTAGCATTAATATTTGATGAGGTGTGTCTTCCTTTTGCATTTTTTAAGGTTTATTTAGGCATGTGTGGACTTTTATTCCATGATTTAAACACTAAAGTGAACTTACTGAATTCCTTTTAAAAAATCCAGCTGGAATTTTAAACAGGATTGCTTTGAATATATAGATTAATTTGAGAAGTGATCTCCTTATGCCATCACTCAATTCAAGATCATGAAATATCTTTCCATGATTTCAGTTCATCTTCTATATCCTTAGAGTTTTAAAATTTTCTCTATAGAGATGTTATGTAGTCTTAAGATATTTTAGATATTTTATGGGATTTGCTATTACTAATGGTATTATCTTTCATTTTCTACTAAAATATTGTTTGTACAAAGAACTATCACTGATTTTTATAGGATAGTCTTAGAATCATCTAAAAGCTTTTATGTGCTCTAATGCTTTGTCTATGGAGTCTAGTTTTTCTAGGTAGATCATCGTATCAATTACAGATAATGATAGTCATATTTTGCCTCATGACCTACACAATTCTTACTTGTTTTTCTTTCCTTATTGCATTGGCTGTAACCTCCAGTGCTTCTCTTCTTGTTCTCAATCATAAAGAGACTGTATCTAAAGTTTATCCATTAAGTATGTTTACTATAGGTTTTATTTTTCTTCCTTTCTTTCTTCCCTCCTTTCTTCCTTCTCCTTCCTTCTCCTTCCTCTCTCTCTCCCTCCATCTCTCCCTCCCTCCCTCCCTCCCTTCCTTCCTTTCTTCCTTTTCCTCTTTCTTTCTCTCATGTTGGGTGCATATTATTAGCATAACCATACATGCCAACTTGCCCAGGACAGTCCTATTTTATTCTTTTTTACTTGGCACTTATCTAGTATAGTATTAGTACTGGACAAAAGTGTTAAAATTTGGAAGATAAATTATTTGGTTATTCTACACATAATCATTACCAAGCTCAGAAAGTTCTCTTATAATCAGTTTGCCAAACGTTTTTACCACAATTAAATGTTGGACTTTATCAACTTCTTTTTCTGTATGAACTAAGATAACAATATGCTATTTATGTGGAGAATTACTCTGATAGATTTTCTGATGCTAAACCATCCTTGAATTTCTGGAATAAGCCCTACATTATCATAATATATTATTTTAATATACTTTAGATTAGACTGAATATCATTTTATTTAAAATTACTTCATAAATAAAAAGGAATTATGTTTTTATTTCCTTGCGTTGTTCTCATTTGGTTTTAGAATCAGGATTATATCAGACTTTTTCATAATAAGTTCACAGCATAGAGTCTTTTTCTATTTTCTATGACAACTTTAAAGAGAGAATTTAACAATTTCTTTAAATTTGGAAGAGATCATCTGTAAAGCACCTGGGTCTGGATTTGGGGGAAAATACAGAGAAGCGGGCTTTAATCAAGGTTTTGGCTTGTTTAGTACTTATTTGTATACCCAAGTTCTGTATTTCCTCCCTTGAAATTACAGATGTTTTATATTTTTCTAAGAATGTATCCATTTTATCATTTCCAAACATATTTTGGTATAGCTGTTTGTAATATTTTATGATTATCTTTTGTCATATTTTGTGATTATATTTTATTTTATGATTACCTTTATTTTACGATTATAAATACAAACCATGTTGGGTTTATAGTATTTCCCCCTTTTTATCCTATACTTTGTATTTTGGCATTTCCTCTTCCCATTTTTTCTTTTTCCTTGATTATTATTGCCAGAGGCCAGTCTAATCTACCAACCTTTTCAAAGACTGAGATTTTGCTTTTGTTAATCCTCTCTTTTGTTTTCTATTTAACTTACTTCTATTGCTATTTTTGTTACTTCCTTATTTCTTATAACTCAGTGTTTGCTCTATTATACTTTTAAAAAATAGTCTTGATTTGAATGCTTAGATCATTTTTTAAATACTCGTGTCTGTCGTCTTACTGCTGCCTCAGCAGTCAGCACCTCAATCCCCACACGCACCAGGTCAGGCCAGCCTTCAATCTGCCACAGTTCCTCATATTTCTTGTTTTTCATTTTATTTTGTTACTATTAGTGCCTGGAATGCTATAATTTCTCTTGAGGTGATTCCAAGAGAAGGAGTCAGCAGTCTGTGCTAATTCACCAATTTGGCAAGATCTAGAAACTAAAAATTATTTCTAAAGTTTATACTTAGGCTCAGAATTTAGCATTCTTCCCAAGAAGTTTCTCTCTCATTAATAGCATCATCCAATGTATCAGATGATATTTTAAAGGTTTATATAGATAATAGAGATATTTATTCTATTTTCTAAGGAAAAGAACACAACTTAAAAAATTACATTTATATAATGAAATCCAAAGTATTTCTGTCCAAATTCCATGTTTTCAATGCAGAACATGGGACATGTGGATAGACTGAAGTGCTTTCTGAACTCCTGAAACTCTAAATCTAAATATTGTCCAGAAAGTATGGGTTAGTTAGTGGTCTGCTTCCTTGGGTGTCCTCACCTCGCTGTAAGGAGCTCCATGCAGGAGCTGTGGTAATTAGTGAAGTTACTGTTAGGCTTACCAGCGGCAGGATTATAAAGGTTTGTGGGGGTTTTTTTTCCAATTAGGGCCACTGGACTACAGAATATACAAATCAAAGACAGAAAAGTTTAACTTATGTAGAATATTTCTTTTCTGTTTTCAATAGGGGAGTTCATTGCATATGCCTATATATAAATAAACTAAAATGTAAAATTTAAATAAAAAGTAATTAAAAGTATTTTTTGTTTCACAATATAGGTCAGTTAAATAATAATACTTTACTTTTGAGGAAAGTCTTATGCAGTAAGAAGTCTATCTACATAAATACACTTACTTGTTATTCCCAACAGCTTGAAGTTAGAAAATACAGTTATAGTGTATATTTAAATACAGAACTTGAAAAATTAAATAACTTGCTTAACCTGATACTAACTTAACAGAACTAAACAGTAGAAATGTTTAGTTCTGGGCCTAGAACCCACGTCTTATTTATTTATTTTTTAGTACTTGGTTTTTCTACCATGCTTCCAAATAAGATAGGCAAAGAGAAAAGAAAGTTGGGTGGCTGGACTGGCCTGGTGGTGTAGTGGTTATGTTCGTGTGCTCTGCTTTGGTGGTCCAGAGTTCACAGGCCCAGATCCCAGGCTCAGACCTAGCACCGCTCATCATGCCATGCTGTGGTGGCATCCAACATAAAATAAAGGAAGATTGCCACAGATGTCAGCTCAGCAACAATCTTCCTCAAGCAAACAGAGGAAGACTGGCAACAGATGTTAGTTCCTCAGGGCCAATCTTTGTCACCAAAAAGAAATAAAAAAAGAAAGAAAGTTGGGTGGAGCCAGAAAAGAGTAAGTTGAGAGGGATAAAAGAGAAAAAGAAAAACATCTTATCTAAGTAACTTCCCCAAAACACATAATGTAGTATTAAAATGATATTTATCTTTATCCAAATGTACTCTGTGATCAAAGGTCTATATCTTCTAGAGTAATGAAGCCTGCAGAAACACAGCTTCATTACATAGACCTAGGAAACAAGGATTAATATTATATTTTTTAATGCACCTTATAATTTTTAAGATTCAAATAGTCTATTTTTATTATAAAATATTCTAACTCCTACCTAAAATAATCTTGATATTGTATCTTGTCTCCACTTTAACAATGCAAACGCTTAGTTTTTGCTTATAAAGTGAGTCATGTATAACTTTACAAAAAAAAGAGATGTTTTTCATGGATGCACATCAATATCCCACTTTCCTTTTAAGATACGGCAGCTTAAAGCTTTAGAAAATCTTGTTGCATTTTCATAAATAGAGACAAATAATATTGCTACACAATTTTTATAGTATCCTCTTTCCAAATTCAAATGAAATTGTTTAAGTCTGTTATTCAGAGCTGGAAAAAGGAAGGAGAGAAAGAGAATGGGAATCAAGGAGAAGTCAGGGAAGAAAAACCAAGAGAATGAGCATGAAATATTTTATGAGAGCTATGGAAACATCGCCGAATTTTATTTCTTGTTAGAAACTTGGTAGGTAACTTGCTACTACCCACATGACAAATGAAAAAACTGTGGCTCATAAAGGTTAAATAATTCTAAGACTTTTCAGGAGATAAATGTTAGATTGGAGATAAAAAGAAATTATAGTAAATCAACTGGAAAACACCCAGCAGCCTACAGAACAGAAATGGGTCACGACACAGAGTTCTAAAGAGAGACATCACTGAACTGACGTCCTGTGGCAGATGAGAGGGTGAAACGAGACGCAGCAGATTACAGTTGGTCTCCTTGGCTCAGGATGTGCCACACAAATAAGATTCACATTCTCGTGGACACTCAAAAACTAGAAGAGTAACCACTTCAGGAGCTATGAAAAACAGCACTTTGTTCTAAAAGTGTCTTTTCCCAAATAATGTTGGGCTCCTGTCTTGTTAACTGTCCTGAAGGGCTAATATAAATACATACCATCATTTCAATGTGAGGCTCCCCAGAAGGAGGGGAAGGGATAAACATTCCCTTATCTACACACGGTCCCTGGTGTCTCAGCATGGGTACTCAGACACAAAACAAGAACAAACAAAAGTCACAACCTAAACTATCAGTAAATACTGAAATTTCAAGAGAAATGAGGGTTTAATATAAATAGTCATTTGCAAAATTGTATTAACAATTTTAAGCTGCATAGTTATTAATGTATATCAGAGTGCATTTCTACTTTTTTCTTCAAGTAAATCTTGCTTGATTGGAGCCTCAAGTTGGCTAGGATGAGAGTAGGGTGAAAACATGCACAGATGGGACTATTCTGAGCCTAAAAGGGGAGGGAGAGCACATCTCTCCGGGCTGGACCCAGAGAGCATCCCAAGAGAAGGAGGTGTACAAATTACACTCCGCTTTTATTGTCCGGAAATGCTGACAACTCTCCCAAGAAAAATTAATAAAATATTTCTATATTTGCTTAAGGCAAACTGAAGTTTATCTTTAATAGACGTTTAGTTGAAATCATCTAATCTATCTGGGTGTAGAAATGCTATTTCACTCCTTGAGAGTCCAGAACTGTATCCAAAAGCAAAGCTTAGGTAGGATATTGCAGAGAATGATGAAATGGTGTTGCAAAGAGAGGACATTTAAATAATTATTACTTATGTCATAAGCTCTGGGCAGTACAGAGATCTTTGCTCTCATTAAAAGACTACCTGTGAAAACTCACATACTTATAAAGAATGTTCTAGTACCTAAATATAACTTTGCATCAGCCCAATGACTCTTTATGAGAAAGGCACAAGAACATAAAAGACCAAAAGTCAAAATGCCACATGGTAATTAAAGAACCATTCCAAATTTGTCTACATGGCTTTTAATAAAAGGACAGTAAAACTGCGTATAGAATGTGATCTTCCGCCCGCGGCTCATGAACTTGTTTTGAACGGAATGCACACAGGTGGAGGGTGAGACTTGGTCATATCTAAGTTCCATTCCATTTCTGAGATTATATGACTGAGAGCCTTTGAACTTACCTAAATATTTTGGATAAAAATATTCCTAGAAAGAAAGAAAATAAAAATATATCTTAGCAAACTTAAATTTCACTATAGAGTTAAAATTTAATTTTAAAATGTGTTTTTATATTAAAGATACAAATAAATTACATATAACTTTCATTTTCAATTATAATATAGCATTTTTCTATAGTAAAATATACCAGAAGTAGATAACTAATAACATTAAGTCAACAAGATGCTTAGGCTTAAAGCAATATTGATCAATTAAATCATGTTTCAAAAGCTTTTAATCTGAAAACAGGTTCTATTGAAAATGTTAAATGTAATCACATATGCCCCCTTTTGGTAAATCCTTTAATTTTTCCATAATGATTACAGACCCATTTGATAAATTTCATGTCATACTGATTACACAAACTAGATTCAATGTTGAATAATAATGACATAATTTGAACTGAATTAAAGCGGACATTTATCTTTTAGTATCTTACATACATGTAATACCTTACTTGTAAATTGATTATGTACCAAAAGTTTCCCTGCAAATCAGTAATCTGGACTAAGGAATGTACTTTACCAAAAGGAGAAAAATGTTAAAAATGATTTCTGATGATAAGGTTCACAGGCTAGTTCACAAAAGTCTTCTTAAGCCATAATACATCTAATGTGCAGCATTATTAGCACAAGAACACCACATGAGAAACCAGTGTTTCTACACAAAAACATACTCAAGTACAGAACATAACTTCATCCAATACACAGTTAAAGTGCTCACTCTTTCCTCCTCTCACACATAAACCTACCTATCTACTAGTTAATAAGGATGGGATCTCCCACCAAGTAATTCAGGCAGAGGTGTTGTCTTCTACAGAACAAAAGCCAAGAGCGTAAGCAACAACAAATGTGTTCAAAAGGAGAGGGTGTGATGGTGAAAGGAATATGTTAGAGACAATGGGAAGGGAAGAAATGGGTAGAGATGGAAGATGTGGACTGGGGTATTAGGGATGTGGACGGGGAGAGGCTGGGTCAGGACAGAAAGTGAGAAGCAGTAACAAATTTCTTTTTCATGTCTTCCATTTCTTCCTTACTCTCCCTATCATCTCAGTCTCTTCTGTCAATAACATCATTGTCAGAATGAGTGCAGGAAAGGAAGCACATCAATGAGTTTCTCTTTCCCACTCTTTCCTTCCTCTCTATGCCTTCTGCCTCACTCCTCATTTGCTAATTTGAGGCTGAGCTCTAAGAACTTGGGTACAGTGTTAGAAATACATACTCAAGTAGCTATGGGTGATACAGTAATATGATGTCTTGGGCATGCAGGTTTGCCTTAAAATGTTCCAACAAAACAAAGCAAAAATTTGGAGTGGGTGGGGTACAGAATAGGCAAAACAAGAATGGCAGATTGTTGATAACTGTTGAGGGGAGGTAGGCATATTGGAGTTCATTATTTTGTTCTACTTTGGGATGTATTTTCAGTTCTCATAATAAAAAGAAATGTGTGCGTTTTTTTTGTGTGTGCATGTGTGTATGTGTATTTGTTTCCTACACAATGAACACTCATATATTGTGTGGAATAAAATATTTTTGTCTTGTCAATTGTTTATGCACAAAAAGCAACAAAACTAAGAGGGAAACATTTTGATTCAATCCCAGAGAGTATTAAAAACAAATCTTTGGGTACCTTGGGAAAAATTCCCTTTGAACCTATTAGAGTAGGTGGAGATACAAGGATTAAAGAGCATCCCAGAGAACACAGGTCTCACTGTCTTGGGCAAGTTCTCTGAGTACAGACAAATGGTTCCTGCTCACTCTCTCCCAACTAGTCTCACGTCCCGGGAGCCACGGCGGAGATAAGGGAGGTACTTTGCACGTTTTCTCCCTCATCTCCTTTTGGTTACACAGTTCACCTCAGGGAAAATATCTGAGGTAACCTGAAGGTTATCAAACTGGAATTCTCAAGGTCATCCTCACCCTAATTCTTAGAGGCACTATTTATACTCCTGCTATCCACAGGACATGTTACAGAACATCCTTCTCTAGGAAAATTAGGGGATTATACAAAAGGTCTAGGGGTCCTCTATTTCTGGATTATATTTAGGAGTCTTTATGATTAGATTCTTCTAGACTAACTTGGAAAAATTTCTACATGAAAGATATAAATTCTAACCCCAGGGGTTGTGGATGATATGAAATGGGCTCTGGAAACTCCCCAAGGGTTTATGGAATAATTTATACTGAGAGAACACAGTACTGTAAAGAATTCTTCAGTAAGCATTCACTGAGTGCCTATTACGTGCCAAGCTCTGGATTAGAGGGTCTATTTTCTAAAGCCTGGTTAAAAACGCCAAAGGAGAGATTTAAGGAAGGATAGCGATAACAATGCAATCACACACACATGTGCGCACACGCACACACTATACTCGGGATGTCTCCCCCTCCACCCAATACTAACAAATTCTGGTTGCAAGAAAGTAATTATAAACTCTTGAGGTCAATACCATTTTCTGACAATTAGGTATAATTGAATTGTATTTTGGTCAGAGCACATTGCTTTTGGAGAGAGTGTCCTCCTAACAAGCCCACTTTCTTTTGAAGGTACTTCCTCCTGAAAGGCTTCAGTGGTCACATGTGGAAGGTGATAGACTCCTTCACTAACTTTAAAAAGGAACACAAGGGAACAGAGACTCAAGCTGGAAATGTCCCATCTGTAACTGTATGTCTAGGTATGCTAACTTACTAGTTTTCATGAATTCTTACCGTTTCAGGGATATTTTCGAAGATCTCCCTGGCTTCTTCTTTATTGCACAGTTCTTCAATGCATTCTCTTTCAAGATTACCCTTTTTGGTTTCTTCAAGAATAGAATTTGCACGGCGTTTCCTAACCAGGACTTGTGAAGCATGTTGCTTTGACAAAACTAAAGGAAAAATAAGTTTATATGAATAAATCTTTCATTTCTCCACCTATATTATTCTACTAAACAATGATGATTAAAATCATTTTCTGCCTGTGAATTGTATGACCTTTAAAATCAGTACGGTTGAACTGAGAAAAAATGCAGATACGTAAGCTCTTCAGTTCACAAATCAGAGCAGGTTGCTGTGCACCTACAGAACGTGTATAATGACCTACACAAATTACTCAAGCCTGTGCTTGAGGTCCAAGTACCAGACGGTATTTAATGTTTCCCATATCATGACCACATTGAAAAAGCATCATGCTACAACAGCCACATCAGCCGTGGCCACACCATCTTTAAAGCCAGAGTAACAAACTCTTTCAATTTTAACGGGAAACTTGCATGGTCTCTGTGGAGACAGAGATCCAGTCAGCTATTTAAAAGATGTCTGATAGGGTAAAACACTTGATTATTCATACAAACAAGAGAATAAAAACTCATGGAAAAAGGAAGACTTTGTGCAAAGTACAAAAAATAGAAGGCAAAGAGAAAAACATCGGTAACTTCAACTACATAAAAAATTTTAAACAGTTGAAGAACAGCAACAAAAATAACATGACAAATTTCAACATCAAGCAACAGATTGGAGGAAAATATCTGCATCATATAGAATAGAAAAAATTACATCCAGAAGTTATAAGCAACTTTTGCAAATTAAAAAAAGCAAACAATAAGCCAACTGATACAGGAATATATGCAAGATTAAATACAAAATGATTTAAATAGTATAAACAAAATGTAAGCAAAAACATACAAAGAAAATCATATAAACTACAGAAAAATAATTTAAATGAGCAATAAAAATGTGAAAAGATGTTCAATGCAAACTTTAAAAAATAATTAGATTTTTGCCTATTAGATTTAGAAAAATTTAAAAGACTGATAATATCAACTTTGATGAGGGCAAAGGGAAACTGTATTCTTGTACATTGGTGATAGGAATTTAACTGGTAAGCATCATTGGAAGGTACTTCGGTAATATCTGAAAATTTAAAGCACATTTACTATTCAGTTCAACAATTCTGCTTCCAACTATGTCCTACACATATGCACCTGTGCTGGAAAGGGCATGTATAGAATGTTTATTGACAGATTGTTCATAATATGAAAAAATTAGAAACAACCTAAATAACTATCAAGAAGGAAATGGAAAAATAAGCTATAATACATCCGTACTGTGTAATGATATGCAGCTATTAAAAGGAAAGAAGATGCTCTTGTACTGAAGATGTCCAAGACATATTATTAAGTTTAAAAACACAAATTGTGGAATGCACACCTATAGCATAATCCTATGTACATCAGCCATACTTGTAGATCTGTAAATACCATGTGGACAAACACACAGAAAAGAGTTTAGAAAGACCCTCAAACTACTGATTGCAATTATATTTGAAGAATGGAGAGTATGAAGTTTTGGTTTATTATTTCAGTAAGTGAATAGAATACTGTTTTTCTTACCTTTTTTAATATAATTTATTTAATTGTAAGTTTATGTAATTTAATCGTTTTAAACAGCTATGCTTAACAGCTGGCTCACAAAATTCCTGAAAATTTAACAACTGGCCTGTGTGAGCCAGTATAAGCTGACTCCAGCACACCACTGCAAAATTTACCATTTTCTACTCAGGAAAGTAATATGGCTGCATTGCAGGAAATTTGGAAAACACAGAAACACACAAAGAAAAAGTCACCCATACCAGTGTTTTTTAATTGGAATTTTTTTTTATTGGAAATTTTAAAAGCACAAATAAAATCTACAAAAAATTTTTTTAATTCTGATTTTAACCACAAGTGATTCTTTCACTAAGATGATGAGCAAATAATATAAACAGCTAAATTTATTTTTCTGTTATTTCTCTTATTACCTGGTAAATAATAAGAGATAAATACTCAAAAGCTGACAATACAAGGAAGAAAAGGAAAAGCAAAAGGACTAATTAATCAACAATCATCATAATTATTAGTTGAATAATTGAACAACTTTCAACAGTGAAGTAAGTAGTGTTACTTTATTTCTCTTACTTGCCAAAACAGAAGTTTAAATGTGATGACTAAGTAAATAAACTGTTTGGGTTACATTTTTAACCCAACCTGACCATTTTTATCACTATTCATTAAGATAAAGATTAAATCAAGGCTGTGTGTCTAAAAGACACCATTCTGTGAGCACACTGCCCGCCAAGCATATTACTGACGGGTAAACGGCAGCCCATGTGAACGAGTCTGACATGGGCGATTATCTCTTCATCTGAAGTAGTTTTAAGCTATTTTACAATAAACATAGCAAAAACGTGGCTCTTCTGAACTTCAAAGCAAATATATTAGTCTTTCTGGGAAAACAATGACACTTTCTTTGAAAGATGAATACATTGATGCAATAACAAAAAATCAAGGTCAAATGCACTTAGAAACAAACCATAAACACCACTCTTTGGCATTTGTTCCTCACAGAATATTAAGTTTTGGACTTGAGAGTTTAATACTGATATTTAAGCATACCTCCTTCCCTATAAAGGCCCCCACTGCAGGCCACAGACCAGGTGTAATAACATACGCTAGATTCATGTTTGTGAAAGGGGAAGTTCTCAACTGTCCAGGGAGAACAAGGCAGTGGTTTAAAGGAAAGCCCACATGAATTTATAAAACTAGAAGGAAACATACTAACTGCCATCATTTCAGAGATGATGAGACTCAGGTAAAGAGCATGCAAGATGTTTGCCTTAAGTTACAAAGCTAATAGGCAGCAAAAGTCCGACAGATCACAGGCATCCCAATGCTCAGACACGTGATTACCACCTGCTGCTGCTCAGAAACAGGCACAAGTCCCATTGACTCCATTGACAAGAGGAATGTTAAAAAGAATTGTTACACCTGTGACCTAAAGGATCCTGATGCTAACAATAAAATAATTTTGTCTAAATTTGAAAGTTTACGTTTTATTTCATCTAGGTTCAACTCAATAATGCTTTAAATTGGCATGGTGCTTAATAATTTTTAAAGTGTATTTTAATTATTTCATTTTATTCTCACATAAATCATGAAATAAACTACAGGACAGAATTATCACCCCCATTTTCCTGTTGAAGAAATTGAAGCTGAGAGAGGTTACAAGATGTACCCAAGGTCATAGAGCTAGGAAGTGGTGCTAATGGGACAGGAATTTAAATATATCCACCTTCCTAGAAGGTGTCTCTTCTGTGTATTCTCCACCAAATGCCCACAATGCACTTGGTTTATAGAAGAAATTATGTGATTATGGAGTGGACAAGTTTGATGTCTTAAATAAAACATGTACTACCCTTTATAAAATAAACCAATCCATCTAACAGAGTGTGCTTTCACAAGAGTCTACTACACCTTGTCAAAAAGTTACAAACATATCACAGATCCAAATTAAGAACTACATGGCTGTAGGATGAGACAAAAACGTGGTTAGAAGGGCTTTTACCAGCTGGATCAAAGTTGATCTGCCCAAAGCATCCACCCTGCTGGCCTGCAGGAAGGTCTAAAAAGCTCCATTACTGATCATACTAATACCCACGGCACCCAAGCACCTGAATGCTGTTTTTGCACTATCGCCTTTAATCCTCATCACAACTGTTCTAAATAGATAGTAATTTTCCCATTTCAATCATGAACAAACTAAAACACAGGGAAGTGGAATCAATTTTACCAAATTCACACAACTGAGAGCAGAGCCAAGCCTGCCTCCAAATCTGAGCCCTTTTTGCATTACCACACTGCCTCTAATTGTGTCTTTCCCTTCTTTGGATTAAGAACTTTCACAAGAAAGTCCTTGTTAAAACTCAAGTATGTTGCTTGAAAAGTGTTACATTCAGATTCAAAATTTCAGGCTATGACGTTTAGTTATAAAACATTCAAGATGAGAAGTATGACTGAATCTACTTGAATTTGTAACTTATCTGAGTCATCCCCTCAAAATAGTGACCACAGCAGGTTGAACAATTATTATGCCAATAACATAACTATTGTTCAAACAATAACTGGAATTCTCTTGAAAATGTCTTCACGGCCTTCACATGTTCCCTTCAATATTTTCTATGGAGGAAAATCTTTGTTTTTGTGCATAAATTTGATTGTCTTACCTCCAAAAAAGTAATTTATTGTTATTGGTCTTAATTTAAGCACCTGTAATAAGGACAGTGGGGTAGTGGGGTTAGCATCGCCTCTGCTCATAGGACAATTCCCCCACTGTCCAATTCAGTTCCGCCGTGGTCAAGGAGAGGTCCTTTCCTCAGGCCCCGTTCTGCACTTAGGTATCCAAGCTTGCTACCTTCTGTTCAGGGTGGGCATGACCACAGATCTGCAGGTCAGTCAGGTGAGGGTGAGGTTGCAGATGGAGGAGGTCCCAGCTTTATGGCAGCTCGTGCTCTGAATCTCTTCCATTCTGCTCTCCTGTCCTTTGCAAAGATGGTTCTCATCTCATAGATTCCTCCCTCCAAAAGCTCATTTCATTTTCAGTTCTGCTTTCTGCTCTCCTATTCCCTATGCCCTTCGTATCTGGCATCACAAGAATGAAAAACTGCCCCTAAAAGAATGTGTCTGAGAAGAGAACCTTTGGCTAGCATTTGGTTTGGCAGAGTGTTTGAATCTTTGTTTCTCCTTCAGTGTGGGATGGAGTTGGGGACAATGGCTTTCAATGTACAAACAGAACAACTAGATAATATTTTGAGATATAATTGTGCCTCATATGTCTCTACTGTTGAAATGGCATGTTTTCCATGAAAGCCTGAGAAAAAAGAATTGCATGCCATATAGGAAAACCTTTAGTTAATAATGATGGGAAACCATACAGCCAGAAATAACAAATTTTATTTAAAATAATCACATATTGGGAGTGACGTCAGCATCATGGTGGAGTGAGCTCTTCCTTTAGACTCTTCCCCCTAAGATAGAATGAAATGGACATTCATAAACCAACAGAGGACATTCAT